GGTGCGTAAACCAGTATGACCTTCAGCGAATACCGTTTGGTGATTCTGAGTATCAGGTACGCGACCCTCGTCGACACACTCCCAATATTTACAACGTTGTTGACGAGAGACTTGTGGACGATAAATCCGACACCTCCTTCGGACAGATGGTCGCCCTCCCGGTGATAGAACAAGTTGCCGGACTCGAGGATTACCGTGTCCTCCCCCTCTCTTCGGACCTTGGATAATTATGCCAGCGCAAATTGTCTACCTCTTCTTCCAGCTCCAGTATCTTCTCGTCAGTCATCAGGGTGCGTGCGTTATATGTTTTCAGGTCGAGTCGTCGTAGGTGGCAACCGAACCTCCACCGGAGATTCTTAGCACCCCTCTGAAAGCGGGTGGAACACCGGTACTTGAAGTCCTTCAGAAGCTCTTCAATTCCGTCCTCCATGGTGGCACTACTCCGGAGGCGTGGAGCAGAAGCGCGGTGGTCTTGTTCTTTAAGAAAGGCGACAACGCTCTCTTGAAGAACTACAGACCGATTTCCCTTCTGAGCCGCGTCTACGTGCTGTTTTCGAGAGCATTACGAATCGTCTCGCACGCAGACTCGATGACTTCCAGCCTCCCGAACAAGCCGGTTTCCGAAAAGGCTTCAGTACCATAGACCACATACATGCCCTGCGGCAGATTGTACAGAAGACCGAAGAGTACAATCTGCCACTTAGCCTGGCATATGTGGACTATGAGAAAGCCTTTGATTCCGTCGAAGTTTGGGCGGTGCTACAGTCCTGTCAGCAGTGCCAGGTTGAATGTCGGTATATCGAACTGCTGAAGTGTTTGTACAGTAGGGCTACGATGGCTATCCAACTACAGAACCAGAGTTCGAAACCTATCCAACTGCAGAGAGGTGTAAGACAGGGTGACGTTATATCCCCGAAAATCTTCACCGCTGCGTTGGAAGACGTTTTCAAGCTACTGAACTGGAAAGGATACGGTACTAACAATCAATGGCGAGTACATCATTCACCTTCGATTTGCCGACGATATAGTCCTTATGGCAGAATCGCTGGAAGACCTTAGGTCTATGCTCAATGACCTCAATGGTGGCTACCAACGGATAGGTCTTAAGATGAACACGGACAAAACAATATCATGTTTAATGTCCATGTCACACCTATGCCGATAGTTGTTGAGAGCACTAAGCTCGAAGTTGTTGACGAGTACGTTTACCGTGGACAAATAGTCCGACTAGGCAAGTCCAACTTCGATCGAGAGGTCAATCGACGGATTCAACTCGGCTGGGCAACGTTTGGGAAATTACGACGCATCTTCTCGTCAGGTATACCTCAAAACCTGAAAACTAAGTTGTACAACCAGTGCGTGTTGCCAGTGATGACTTACGGATCTGAGACATGGTCCTTCACTGCTGGCCGTATGAGGACGCTCAAGGTCGCTCAGCACCGCTAAAGCTATGGAGAGGGCTATGCTCGGAGTTTCTCTGCGTGATAGACTCAGAAATGAGGATATCGCAGTAAAACCAGAGTGACCGACATAGCCCAACGGATTAGTAAGCTGAAGTGGCAATGGGCCGGCCATATAGCTCGAAGAAACGATAACCGATGGGGAAGACAGGTTCTCGAGTGGCAGCCTCGTACCGGTAGGCGTAGTGTAGGGCGAACCCCCACTAGATGGAGTGACGACCTGGTAAGACATACAGGAAATCAATGGATGCAGGTGGCTCAGGACCGTGTTTTGTGGCAAATCTTGGTGGAGGCCTTTGTTCAGCAGTGGACTTGTGAAGGGCTGTAATGATGATGATGATGATGATGTTTATTACAGAAATGCGTTAGATTTTAAAGTATGGTATGTGGGGCAAGAGTGGGCCGTTTTTATTGTTTGATATTACCAAAGAGTGATAAAAGTTTATTGAATACCAAAAGATCATTGTATAATAAGGTTGATTACAACTAGTAATTAAATTAAAAAATATTTTATTTAACAAATTGCATCAGTCCATTGCTACGCGGGTGGTATTTTACCCGATAATTTCATGCATTGGTTCACTGTGCCCGCTACGATCCACAGTACCACAGTACCACAATACAAGGAGATCCAGTGTATCCCGTATGCGGGTTACAATCGATCTATTCCGACTCTTAAAAAAACGTTGGTATATGCGTAGTATCCCCTTAGTAATCTTTGCTTGGTATCTACAAACTATTGGTGATTTTGCCAAATTTGAAATGAAATTTTATAATCAACATCTCATGCAATCAATCAAGCTGTAAAAAATTGTAATTAATCGTCTGTATACTGCTTTTATCATCTTTAAAAAAGTGGTTCACTGTTCCCCGCTTTTCCCTACTTTTTATGTAATAAGAGTGACAAACGAGCACACAGTTCACCTGATGGTAGTAAATCCTTTGGCCCATGGAAATCTGCATCTATCCCCGATTGAAAATCAAAATGCACATGCGTTATAACTCCTGAATACTAAGATGTAATGCCTCGTTTCTAGTAATAGGTTCTCTTCACTCACCTTACGATTAACAAAGGACTGAAACTGCTATTTTATGCTAGTATTTTGTGAGAGTATGGACCTTCCTCGGTCGATCCGACCCATTTGTGCTACAACCATAATACAGCTACAGCATTACTCTATCACGAAAAAATGAAATAACGTTTTCATTGTTTGTATTAAAGCTTATTACGTCCGCCATATTGCGGTGACCGGGGACTATTTGACAGCAGCAGTATTCCTTTACTAAGAAAGCTAGCATAACTTTACCTTAGACACCAAAATGTAAAATTTTGTGCAATTCTAATATATTCGTCATAATTAAACGGTTGATAAAAAAGCTATAATTGCTTTATTGAAAGATTCGTTATTTATTATAAATGTAGGTTATTAACATAAACGTTATGAAAAACTTTTCTCAGTTAAGGAAAACCTAAAAAGAAATTCAAAAATAATAAAATACTGGTTCCTAAGTGAAATTTCCACCTATAAATGGTTTTATATTTAGTAAGTCACCTTAGACCTTAATACACGATCTTATTATTTACATAGTAAAAGTTTTCGATGTTATACTTTTGAAAAATTCATTCATCCATTCATTCAATCAACTCATCCTACCAAAAGTCCGCTGCGGAATATAGTAGGGTTACCTACCGCAAATTTAAAAAACTAGGATTTGATGTTGGAAAGACCAGGACAATACAGTTTAAAACAGGACGCAGTAAAGACCTTGTTAATTGCAAACTGAACCGAACCGAAAAAGTGGCAAATGTATGTACTATGTAAGAAAGTATCGATTCGTTTTCTCTTTTTATATGTGACTACGCTTTTTATATTCAATCGATAACATATATAACAAAATAAAAACACTTCGCCACGCTGTCGGTTCGCTGTCTATTTGACTCATTGAATTTTAAAATACATTTATCAGGGCGCTTTGAAAACCCACGACACTGCTTAAAAACTATCCAGGACATCCCAGGACACTACAAAGCTAGGACATGTCCTGGGAAAACAGGACGGTCGGCAACCCTAGAATATAGGCCTCCCCCGCGATTGTCATAAGAAGGTTATCTGAACAATTAGTTATACGTAACACTATAAAATAAGTATTTCCCCATTTGTTATATTATATAGACCCGTGATCGAACTTGTCATTATGTGCAACTATGTCTGAGATTGTTAAAAATTAGATTTCATTCTCAACATTATCTACGTTTATAATTTGCGTAACTAGGAAATATATTTAACCAGGTATTGTTAACGAACCACATCAATAGTGTTTACAATTTTTCTTTGATGTTATTATGAATAAATATTTTAAAGGCTTGGTAAATTTTTGAGATATGGTAGTATAATACATACTACCCGTGCTGTTAAAGAATGGGATTGAAAATGGCGCCGCCTCTATTAATCTCCCGTACGCACACTGTCGCTATCTACACTCATACCCACCGGTAAAGACGGCAAAAAATTATGTTGCGGTATGCGTTTTCGTACATTCTATAACTTCAATCCAACTTGTTATTGAAATTAATAATAACAAAATGCCATAAACCACAAAAAATCAGTTCAGTATTGCTAATTTATGAGTTACGACGTGTTCTGAGTTCTTTTCATAATTTAATCATATTTAAGTTACATGCCATGATATGATATATGATGCCATGCCAAATAAGAAACCAAGATAAAATAAATGCACTTTAATAATTATCATAATATTAAAAAAAAAAAAAAAAAAAAAAAAAAACGCCACATTTTTAGAAACCACCCAGGTGAAGAAAGAGCGAGTCGCTTGTTATAACTATTTTAAAACTTAATGTACCTACTTGCATGTAGTATTTTTCAAATATTTTCTCATTAATAGAAAAATTCCAATTAACCGAATAATATAATGTTATAAAGATATATCATTATTAGCTGGTTTTCGCTATTGGTACTGTACATGTTGACGGTACTGGCTCTATGAAGCGCCATATATAATCCCATTCTTTATCCGTACGAGCTAAAGAAAAATAATTAATGTAGAGCCTGACCAGGAAAATGAAAACATTTCCCCAGACTTTTTATGGTAACAAATAGTATGGCCATTATTTGTGATTACAATTATTTATATTCATACCAACGATAATAGACTTACAGAAATTGTTAAAATTTTTCGATAATCTCCGAAAGTAAGGTCTGGTTTTAGTTCTCGATTGACGTTACGCAACACGACGCGGCGTGTAATACAAAATATATTAAGATAGTAATACAAAATATAACTTTATTTACAACAACAAAAAATACACATTATGTTGAGAAAATACGAAATTGCCCCGCGGCGTTATGTTGTTAATGTAAATTAATTTGCCAGCGTCTATCTTTTCGTCTGATTATAATGGTTTTTATTCTCCTGATCCGGCTATACTTAATAGAATGTTATTTTATTTTCTCTTTGGTAACGTAATATTATACTAAAATATTTTACTACGTTCATATAAATTATTTTTAACAAATGTTCTTACAAATACTCAACTATGTCACATTTAATTGAAATATTCGGACAACTGACACCGTAGCTCAAGTTAAGGCCGTGCGGCTGACTTTTATGTCTCTCTGTTAGAAGTTTTTGGAATATCGGCAGTATCGCGCACTCAAATAATTCGGATTCGGAACTGGCAGTGTACATTTTACGTTGCTCCACAGATTCTTGACGCTTCGAGTCGCCTCTGCCGTATGTTGCTGACTTACGCTCTTCTTTATTGGCAGATGACTCTGAAAAACAAAGAATGTTTAATTTCAAAGAATAGGTAATATTGTTTCATACCGGTTTTATACATTAAATTTAGGATGCATGAAAGGAGCATTACCAGAGTGACAAACTGAACTCTCATTTGTGTGCTGCGCATAGATTTTGTACTAACTGACGTTAGGTTCTGCGTGTGGGTACGCCGATGTATATATTTAACGTGGTAGAGCCACGCTAAAGTTATATAATGTTTGCAGCATGAATAGGTCAGGTAAATCAGGGAGGGACCAAGCTCTGACAAAATATTATAAAGCAATTTTTTACTTATTTTTATTATAAAGTGGTGATGCAGTCGATGATGGTAAAGGTTCTCTTTGCGTTATAAAGTCTATTCACTCTTGCCTTTAAGACACCTATTTTATGCTGTTGTATTTCGTATGGTGAGTACCTATAGAGATCCAGAGATCATTTTTACTGAAAATGAGGCATTCCATATTAGTCCTCAGGGGTGACAACGCATCTGCGTTTAATTCTTAATGGTGGAAAGATGTAGATATATATGGGCCAGAGCATTCACGTACCATCAGGTGGACTATGTGAACGTTTGTTACCCTAATTGTACAAAAATAGGTACTATTTTGACTCGTCCTAAGTGACTGTGTGATTATGTCCGCCGCGCTGCCCCAACGCGTGTTGGTGAACTTTACATGTCTTCGAAATATTTTTTTTGTTATTTCTCAGACATACAGGTTTCCTCACGATGTTTTCATTCATCACCATGGTAAATCAGCACTTGATGCTTTGCTGAAAAAAAAATTTACAATTTCATTGGTGCTGGCGGGAATCGAACCCGGGTTCCTCGTGTACTGTGAAATTTACGTCAAACGCTTACCCCTTGAGCTACCATGGCTTTTTTTCAAATGCTTAGCAGTCATCACATTGCAGCCGAGTTGTTCACACTCCAAATGCCACGTCTGGTAGGTATTTAGTAAGATCAACTCGGTTTATTGATTCATTATCATTCTTAACAGCCTATCCAAATTCCACAAGTGAGCAAAGGTCTCCTCCATGGATTGCTTCAAGGCCACGCTTAGCAGGTGGATTCGTGACCACAGTCTTTTTATTTTGAGCTGTTATCGCGAAGATGCTGCTGCCCATCTCCTGGATTGTTTTCCTCTATCGCCTCTTACGACACGCGCAGGATGATATGTGGTAGACAATTCTGTTAAGCCGCCACCACATGGCAACTCGGTTATATTATAATACCTATGAGGTGAGCACACTGTACCTGCGCTACCTACCGTTACCATTACAACCTACAAAAGTATTGCTGAACATAGGTCTCCCCCATATCCGCCTCCTTCTCTCCCATAGCGGGATATTTGCCATAGTTGGCAAGCTGGATGGCAACCGCAGCATTTTTATTTTTAATCGTTAATTGGAAGACGTCGCTACCCATCTCCTGATTTGTTTTCCTCTTTCGCCTCTTACAACACCCACGGGCCACCGGACACTACACGGTCAGAGCTACCTAATAAACAAAAAACAAATAATGCGGAGAATCAATAATAAGACTATGTCCAAATTAGTTTTAAACTTACCTATTTTATGTCTGGACGCCACATTTGGACTACTCTTATGATGGTCAGGTCTAGTCTGATGTGCGGCCTGTGTTAACTTAGGAGAATCTCCGACTCCCTTCGCCCTCTTTAGTGGTTCTGCTTCTTGTTTTAGTCTTTTCGCTGGTGATTCTTGACCCTTGCACACTCTAATTGTATCAGGATCGGGTTTCCATGGCTCTGGTTCCTGTTTCGGCTCTGGAGTATGCTTCCTGGGAATATCGTCGTGTCTGCGAGGTGGGCCCTCAGGTTTTTCTATTTTATCTTCTTGGTATGACCTCATCTGGAAGAATAAAAAACATGAGTGCAGCTCACACGCGACAGAAGTGAAACCTTTAAACGAAATGAAATGTAAAATACAATTTTTTCAATATAGTTAATTGTATTTGTTAATTTTTTTTACTGTTTACTGCCGCTTGGCTGCCATTTCTATATGAACATCATAGATTATGAAAAGTGAACCATACAGATGGGAAACGCACGAAACTATTTAGTACTAGCTTTGATGGTTCTTTTTTATTCAAATTAGTATTATTCAAACTCATTTATTTTATTACTTATTTTATTTAAACGACATATTTTAATTCGACCATGTTTAAAATATCTAAAGAAGTCTTCGAAATGAGTCCCGTACTTTCAAAATGTCCTTTTGAAAGTACGGGACAGCCACTAATTTTTACGACGAGTAGATTAATTTCCCTTGGAATGTTTATACTCTTTTCTATATACCTTATCTAATTACAAAAGGATTTGTATCAATTTTACATATTACGAAGTTAAGGTTTGGCCGTTCCTCACTGCTTGTTTATTCCATAGGCACACGGCACCTTCGTACCTTGTTAAACAAAATGCGTAAGCGACGCCGTTCCGGCGGCGTTTACGACTTATTTCTCGCGAGAGGAGGCAAACGACCATACGGCTCACCTGATAGTGTTTACCGCCGCCCATGAGCAACTGCAACACCAGAGGAATCGCAGATGCGTTGCCGGCCTTTTAAAAAGCAGTAGGCTCTTTTCTTGAAGGTCCCTAAGTCGTAACGGTCCGGAAAAATCTCTGGTGGTAGTCGATTCCACAAGGAAGTTGTGCGAGGAAGAAAACTTCTTTTAAATCGCACGGTGGTGGACCGCCAGTCATCCAGATAATGTGGATGATATCGTGAGTTTTGTCGCGACGTGCGATGGTGAAATTGTGCAGCTGGAATTAGTCCGAGCTATTCGTCAGAGCACACTCCGTGGGAGATGTGATAAAATACGCAAAGAGATGTGACATCTCTTCGCAGTGCCAGTGAGTTCGAACAGCTCTGCACTGGATGCGATCAAATGGAAGGAGCTGGCACTGGGGAGCCCCGGCCCAGAGATGGGAACAGTATTCCATGTGCGGCCGAACCTGCGCCTCGTAAACTTGCAGGCGGTGAGTCGGCATGAAATACTGTCCCGCTCTGCTGAGCACGCCAAGCTTTTTAGAGGTCAATTTGGCCTTCCCTTCCAAGTTCCACGAAACTGTACGGCACTCGATATGTCGACGCCGAGGAAGTAAACGCGCAAACTAGTGTCTTCTGGGGATTAAACTGGTCTAGATTTAGTTGCCCCCAGTCCGAGACTATTCAACAAAGTTTCGACTGCAGACACAAGTTTGTCCCGGTACTCTGCGACGTTTTGCCGAGAAATATTGGCACGGCCGGTGTATAAAGCATTACCAGTGCTGTCGTCCGCATAGCAATGAGTACTTATAAATTTATGTCATCATCATTCATCATCATTACAGCCCTTCACAAGTCCACTGCTGAACATAGGCCTCCCCCAAGATATGCCACAAAGCACGGTCCTGAGCCACCTGCATCCATCGACTTTCTGCTGCCTGATGTCTTACCAGGTCGTTACTCCATCTAGTAAGGGGTCGCCCTACACTTCGCCTACCGGTACGAGGCTGCCACTCGAGAACCTTTTTTAACCAGCGGTTGTCGATTCTTCGAACTATATGGCCGGCCCATTGCCACTTTAGCTAACTTATCCGTTGGGCTATGTCAGTCACTCTGGTTTGACTGCGGATATTCTCATTTCTACATTTATCACGTAGAGAAACCCCGAGCATAGCCCTCTCCATAGCTCGCTGAGCGACTTTGAGCGTCCTCATACGGCCAGCAGTGAAGGACCACGTCTCGCTTCCATAAGTCATCACTGGCAACACGCACTGGTTGTACAATTTAGTTTTCAGGTTTTGGGGTATACTTGACGAGAAGGTGTGTTGCAATTGTCCGAACGCTGCCCAGCCGAGTTTAATCCGTCGATTGACCTCTCGGTCGAAGTTGGACTTACCTAGTCGGACTATTTGTCCCAGGTAAACGTACTCGTCAACAACTTCGAGCTTAGTGCTCCCAACCACTACGGGCAAAGGTGTGACATGGACATTAAACATGATCTTTGTTTTGTCCATGTTCATCTTAAGACCTATCCGTTGGGGGGCACTATAGGTTTCGTACTCTGGATTTGTACTCGGATAGCCATCGTAGCCCTACTGTACAAACACTTCAGCACTTCGATATACCGACATTCAACTTGGCACCAATTAATACAAAACTATCAAATAGACAGTCCGACATAATTTGCGTTATTATCATCATCATCATCATCATCAATCAAAAGTAGTAGTAGCGATGAAAGAGGTTCTACCGCCGTATTAGAACTATACGAATATAAACTACTAGTATCTATAGCCTTCTCTTTAGCTCGCTGGCTAACTCTGTTAATGAGTATTTTTAGAGACTAAGTAATTACTCTAAGGTCGAGCGTGCGTGTGCACAGTAACGCACGCACGCTCGTGCTCATAGATAGTTATTTCCATAGACTTAGAAAGTATATTCTAAGTCTATGGTCATACTTGTAAGTGACGAAATTGGTTTATTTCTTTAGACTTACATAAGCTGCAGACTGTCTCCTTTTGGTTTTGATCTGATGCGGAGGTGTGCTTACTGGCTGTGGAAACTCAGAACCGCGACGCTGTAACAAAAATATATAATGACAGAGATGAAACTAATGTAGAAGCGAGTAAAAAATATGTATATATTATTATTTATTGTCTTTATAATGAAAGTAATCGTTAAGGAAATAAAAACACACTTTACATATATATATATATATATATATATATATATAATATATTTACCACACAATACGCCACTAAAAGCGATTTTGGCGATAAGGATCTTCCAATGGTGCTTGTCGCGGCGATCGGTCACCTAGCTTTGATCGCTTTTTCTTTATCAAATTTTTTTATTATAAGCCACACCACAATCACACCTTGTGGTAAGTGGTGATGGATGGTAAAGCGCACTGTCTTAGCGTAATAACATCCGCCGACCGCATGTTTGTCAAAGGTGGTGTTTTTCAGCACCAGCCCATTTGTGATAGCAGTACTACATGCTCGACCGGACTTGCGCTTTAAATACGGTAAGAAACTACCCTGGCATGAGTTATCGCCGCACCCATGTTAGGACACGTAGTTTCCAAACGACTTCGAGAATCGAACCCAGTTTATTATAAAATTTACGCTGAGCTTAGACTTTGAGTTGAGCTACCACGGCTCTGGTGTAATCTGGAATTTGGTACTATATAGTCCCAGAAAATATGCAGGATTTATCTATCACAAAATTTTAAGTGTTTATTAAGAAATATTCGGAATACGTCGTATTTGTTTAATAAGGGTTATTATACGAGTATATAGAGTACATGATTGCTAATAGCCCCGGGAATGAGGTGATCGATACCATGATGTTTCTACATGTTTTCATATTTAATTATACAACATATTATTTTGTAAATATTTTTTTATGGTCCCGCTGGGTTTCTTGCTGGTACTGCCAAGACAGAGGTTTTGTTTCCGAACCAGGGGTTAAAGCTAATATAAGCACAATAATATTTATATTCTTCTTATAACCTATATTCAATAAAAATATTATTCTATTCTATTCTATAGATATTATTATTTATAAAAGACTAACTGAACTTCGCAGAAGTTGTCCTGCCAGTTAATATCATAATGGTTGTGTTCAGTAACGTTTTTTATTTCAGCGTATGCAATTCTTGAACGAAAAAACAAAATAAAATTTAAATTTTGTTTGATTATCACTGTTTTTAATGTTTTTGTTAGTTTATAAATATAAACCTTCTCCACTGAAAAATACATAATATATAAACGGGTAAACATATAATAAAATATGTTACCTTGGATAATCTGTCGGACATTCTTAATGTATCTGCTTCCCGGTAACCTTCTGGAGTGGCGCCTCTTACTGTACCAGCTGAAATTGACGTGTCATGTTTGCAATTATATTAAAAATTTTACTTTAGTTCATCAATTTAGGCTATTAATGGCTACTTCTTTCGTTGTAAGAACTCTGTAGTGTAGTGCGACAAACAAGAATTAACATTAAGACTCGGACCCGGTTTACATTTTAAGAAGTGACAAGTGCGAGTGGCAATTGCAACTGACAGATGACATGTGCTTGTTGCGTATATCATTCCCACTTATCACTTGTCACTGCCTGTTCGCACGCACTAAGCACTTGTCTTTTGTCAGTTGCACTTGCCACTCGCACTTGTCACTTCTCAAAGTGTAAGGCCCGGTTCACATTTTGAGAAGTGACTAGTGCGAGTGGCTAGTGCAACTGACAAATGAAAAGTCCTTAGTGCGAGTGAACAGCCAGTGACAAGAGATAAGTGGGAATATAATACGCACCTGTCACTTCTCAATTGCCACTCGCACTTGTCACTTCTCAAAATGTAAGCCGGGCCTTAACCTGGCCTAAGTTTTATCGAGCAGTAGTTTCGAAAACACTTATAACATTACTAGCCATGTGGTGGTGAAGAGAATCCACGCCCTAAATCATCCCGTGGGTATCGTAATAGGCAATTGTGGGTAAATCTAGTAAGATCTCCTGACTTCCAACAGAGTATGTCAACCAACTGCTTCCGCCAGGTGTAAAACTGTCGGACCGACGACGAACTGCAGCATAAGCGGTGCTCTCGTTTGGAACTGCGATCAACAACTTAACTGTCAAGCATGGCGATTTGGCGATTGCGCCCATTTTCAGTAGAAGATTTTTACAGGATGAAGGGATTTTTTTTAGATTTAATTTCCATTTATTGAATAAGAGTGACAAACGAGCACACAGTCCACCTGATGGTAAGTGGATACTGTGGCTCATAGACATCTACATCTATCCTCAATTAGCGTTACAGCCTATTAAAGTCCCCTGCTGGACATGGTCCCCCCCTCATATGTTTCCTCACAGGGGGGATATTTGCCATAGTTACCATGCTTGGTAAGCGAGTGGCAACCGCAGTTTTTCGTTTTATTTTTACGTCAATTTTTAATCGTTATTAGGAAGACGCCATTCCACATCTTCTGATTTGCTTCCCTCCGTCGCCTCTTACGACACCCACGGGATGATTTGTGGTAGTGGATATTCTTATACTGTCACTATACGGCAATGTTTCCTTGATTAAGAATCAAAATCGAATTGAAGCGACAGTAGCCTAATGGCAGGGCGCGGACCGCGAACACAAAAAGGTCGTGGGTTCGAATCCACCATTCGACTACTGGCGTGAACCACTCGTAACACAAGCAATTTAAGCTTACCACGAGTGGTTGAGGGGAATATTAGTAATGTTTATAACATTGTTAATATTATTTAAAAAAAAAGACGTGTGGCACTCGGGGACTGCCGCGGTAAAGCTATTGCATAGCATTTTTTATCAACTTATGCAATTATAATTAATTATTTATTTTAGTTATGCAGTTAAGTCTTTGATATTAAATCAAGTTACACTTTTTGAGCGTGGTGATCGATAAGAAAACAATTTTTTTTCTCTTATTGTATAAATGAGAAGTTAATATTGTTTAAAATATTTTTAATTTCTTACAATACATGTAGGTTATTCAGGAATTTTTATCATTCAGTTAGCAGCTAGTGTACACGCATACGACTAGTCGCACGCACACAAACACCGTGCCGAAGTCTGCCGAGTGCCGAAGTCTGCCGATCTGAAACGACGTTAGACGATGCACGGCTTTCAACGCCACACCTCCGTGCCCGTCGGAGTGGGGAGCGTGAGGTTTTTTCGTTACGGAATTTCTGGATTCGGTCCCCGCGCTCAAGGCCCGCGATAGAAGCTATGCAATAGCTTAAAAAAGAAAAAAGAAAAAAAAAGTAATGCAGATGCGTTGTCACCCCTAAAGACTAAGATTTCAGTTAAAATAATTCCAGTATAATCGTACAAGTAATTACTTACTGTGGTTAATTGAACTATTCGAGGCCCTTCTTTCAGTACTCGTTGGGTCTGCTTCCCTGAAAGGTAATTTCAAATGTTTCTTAAAATTATTCAAAATTTTGATTTAGAATATATATTAAAAGAATGTGAGGTAGTGGATAGTCATAATAGTAGAGGAAGGCCTAAGAAAACATGGATGGATTGGTAATGATGAGATGACGATTGATAGAGGGGAATGGAAGAGGAAGATATACTTATTATGCAAATCACGGAGTATTTCAAAAATATTTTTTTTAATCTTAAATAGCTACAACTATGAAAACCTGTAGAAGCACAAAGAAAAATAAACAAAATATAATAATACAAAAACCTGTGATGATGTGGCGAAGACTGCTGGCGACTTTTCTCTGAAACACTTCTCTGCATGGGAGAGTGAGCGTGACCTATAACGTAAAACAATCATGAAGATAGATACATAAATACCACAAAGATAAGGCGTGGCAACTCAGAATACCAGCGCTAAATTACAGTTCTATGCCATTTGAGCTGCTGCTGTGGAGCTTTTGCTGGGCTGTAGCAGCTTTTATTCTTAGTGGTTCATGGATTAGGGCTACAACAACCAATTACTATCAGGTGGCATGTGTACTTATTTGTCATCATTGCCTTACCCTGGGAAGGAATAGAAGTAGGAGATAGATGCCATTTGCGGAGGTAGAGCCCAAAGGGCGGATGAGGGGCTGCTTAAGTGTTCAAAAATTTCCCGTTGCCCTGGTGATATGCGACGAGGGTGGAACACTACAAGTCTTAATAAACCATTAATAAATTGGCTGCTGTAGCCTTGGTGATGGTGAGATTAGAGAACCAGAGACCCTTTTTACTGGAAACGAGACCATCTTAGTCTCCACGGGTAACAACGCATTTGTATTTTGACTCTTAATTGAGGATAAATGTAGATGTCTATAGCCCACAGCTTCCATTAAAAAAAGGTGTACTATGTGCTCGTTTGTCACCCTTATTCTATAAAAGAGGGGTAAAAGCTTGCCGTAAATTTTATAACAAAATAGTTAATTGCAATTAGACGTCATCGTGAGAGAACCCGCATCTCTAATGGCGGCTGTACACGCTCGTCTCGTCGCGTAGAGGCTCAACACGAGTACACACCATGTACACACACACGTTGTATCATTTGAACTATGTGTGCCCGCCGAGAGGGACCTAGATGAAGCCGTTGCTGCGTTTTGCCTTTGTGCTATTAGTTATTATATATTTTTTATTATATAGTTATTATTTATTTTTACACATTTACCATAGAAGGAAAATTAATAAGGCATGACGAAAGAGAAGATGGTGGATGGTTTATATTTACCGTAACAGAACCATGTACGGTGAATAGAATATAGTACGCTCTCTTTTTCATCGCGAGACTCACGAGACCCTTTGACTCGAGCGCAAAAACCGACACGCTTCCGAGAGCGCAAGAGGGCCACGAGACACGCCGCGACGCGACGAGAGCACCATGTACACACTCGTACTCGGCCTGTCTCGTGGTGTCTCGACGAGCGCGAGCCGTCATAATGACTGCTGTACACGCTCGTCTCGTTGCTTCGCGTGCCTCTCGTCGTGTTGAGGCTCAACACGAGAACACACCATGTACACACTCGTTATATCATTTAAACTCCGTATGCCCGCTGAGATGGACCTAGATGAAACTGTTGCTGCGTTTTGCCTTTGTGCTATTAGTTATTATAATTTTTTACACATTTACCATAAAAAGAAAATTAATAAGCCATGACGAAAGAGAAGATGGTGGATGGTTTATATTTAGGTACCGTAACAGAACCGTATACGGTGAATAGAATAGAGTGCGCTCTCGTTTTCATCGCGAGACTCACCGCGACGCGACGAGAGCACCATGTACACGCTCGTTCTCGCCCTGTCTCGTGATGTCTCGACTAGCGTGTAGCGCCGTCATAAGGAATAAAATATTTCGAAGTGATGTAAAGTCCGCCAACACGCTCTGAAGTAGCTTGGCGAACTAATTGCTCTATAATCCTCTCAGATGTGAGATGAGGCCTGTGAACTTCACAAATATTGCTGTTACGGCTCGCAAGGTGAAGTAGCTTGGAATTGAGCTGCGGTGCTGCAGAATGCGGGTTCGAATCTTGCTCGAAACAAATATTTTTAGCGGGTTATGGATGTTTGTCCTTGTGCAAATTATGTTTGTAAACTGTCTCCACGACACAGGAGAAAATCCTAGTGTAACGTTTTATAAAAATTTAAAAAATTAATAAATAATTTAACCGTGGAAGAAATTTCCAATTACTAGTGATGGATATTTATTTATTTATTCAGAAAACCAACAGCTCCTATGAACAGTACTCATATTTGGTAACCTTATAAATCCTGCATATAAGCCCTGCAACGCGTTCACTTACTAACGTTCACACACACACGCACATCCGCACACATTAATGTACATCGACTAAATTCTAAATAGGAACATAAAAAAATTACCTGTAGGGGATTTTTGACAAGTGTACTGGAAAGTGTTCGTGTCCCACAGGTCGCTCTGTACAACGATAAAGTTCTCTTTTTTCCTCTTCTCTGAATCTTTTCTTTGACCTAAACAACATTTGTAATTTTTCAAAACATATCCAGAATTAGCCTTCTTGCTGAGTTTAATTGAAGTTAAACTGTCAAAACCCTTACTTTACAATGTCAATTTAAAATTATTTCCACCAGCGATGGAGTCATACGAATATTAGTCAGCTAAAGTGCGCCCATTGCGGTGAGAGTGATGTTTGGAGATTACGGTCATATTATATTCTGCTTCTGCTACTCGTAAATTTGGATACAACCATTTTAACTCCTCCATTCACCAAAAATAAACTGTTTTTTTGATCAACCTCTTGCACCTGGACTGTCTCCCGTGTTGTCACACTTATTCCGCTTCTCATTTTAGGAGTGGAATAGTGCACAAAAATTTGAGAGCTAGCAAATGTACAGCCTATGCCTAAAAAGGCTGTGCCAAACAATCGGCCATTTTGCTTCAACTTTTGTAACGCGTACGCCAAAGCAGTGTAGTAACGTCCGCGTCTGTCTTTCTGTTCGATTACAATCTGGGTATCTTCAAGGCAAGAGTAAATAGACGTTGGTTACGCTAAGACAATGCGATTTACCATCCTGGCTTCAGTACCATTTAGTTTTGCCAGATCGGAAGACCAAAATATCTGGACAAGTTGTGAAAATATCGGGATTTTGGGGTTAATATCGGGAGAAATAAATATAAAAATAAAAAGTTTTTTTTTAGAAGAATAGGACACAAAAAATGCTTTAAACAAAAATAATTTAAGTACACCTTATTTTTAGGTTGCCACATGTATTTGGCATTGGACGTTAGAGTCCACCAATTTGGATCTTTTAGTAGTATTCAGAAAATATTTAAAATTCAAACAATTCAGTTCAAAGTTCAATTTAATTACTAACTATGCTTTTATTAACTCAAAGGCCATACGTTAACTTTCCGAGAAGCTGTTTGTCTGTAGATTTTGAGTTTTGTCGGGAGTCTGGATATCATTTGAAATGTAAGGAGAATCCAGACGAATCCCGACCATCTGGCAACCCTATCACCACTTACTATCCGATGGGATTGTAGTCAAGCACTCTCTTATAGTGAGTGAAATAAGTTACATATTTCATAGACTAAAATTTAGTTTGGGATTTAGTATTGAAGCGGTTAAAACTTTTTTGCATATTTTGTTCATTTTAAACTCTGAATCGTACTCACACTGTACTCGTAGCTGTTTCATTGAGTATACAATATAGATACTATCACAACGGCATTCAGCTCTCATCCTACTAGTGATTTGATTGAATTAAAACAAATCTTTTACGAGTAGGCTCTCATATGATAAAAAATACTGGTTTAGGAATTTTGGTGAGCCGTGGTAGCTCAGTGGTTAACGCTCGCTGTAAATATAACAGAACGCGAGTAACCCGGGTTCGATCCCCGCCGGCACCAATGAAATTGTTAATTGCAATTTTAAGTGCTGATTTACCACGTGCTCGGCAGTGAAGGAAAACATCGTGAGGAAACCTGCATGTCTGAGAATAAGAAAAAAAAATATTTCGAAGACATGTGAAGTTCGTCAACACGCATTTGGGCAGCGCGGCGGACACTTCCTTGCCCTAAAACCCTCTCAGAAATGAGGGGAGGCCTGAGCCCAGCAGTGGGACGTATATAGGCTGTAACTTTACTTTTTACTTTTTTAGGAATTTTCGAATCATTACTTCAATTACACTTACAGGATTTTCTTCTCTCCATTGAAGACATGTCGTGATCTATATCTAGAATATCTTCAAGTTCTTGTTTAGGCTTCGGTGGTATTGGGGGGTCCTTTTCGTGCCCTGTAAATATTGGTGTAGAATTGAGATACAAATTTTTATTAAATTAGAATATAATATAAAAATCATCTTTAAAGTTGGGAGGAACTGATGAAGATGATTTGGTGTATCACACCAAAGAAAACAAGCCAAACCACACTCAAAAGTATTCGTACTACGAGTACGTTCAACTTCAATTCTCGGACGTGTCTTACATTCATTATGGCCGCAAACAATTCTAAGTCATTTTGAGTAGTTGCTTATCTCCACTTGCTAAGAAAGAAGTTCACGAATCTACAAAGACAGAAAAAACATACTCACATAGACAGACATCCTTAAAAACGTTAAAATCAGAATTTTATTGACCTTAAAACACGGTGGTAGACGTCCCGCCTCCTAGGCATTAGTTTTCTATCGTTTCGAATTCGTATCGTCATCGAATAATTTTGTATGAAAAAACATAGTTCTATTTGCTGCAGTAGCAGCAACAGACAGCAGCGGTACGAAAACTTTAACGTCAAAAAATTGTGCTAACGATCTACGCTACGTGATTGTGAACTACGCAAAATGCGCTTACAGTTTCTAGGAGTGAAATGCTAGTGTCGTGTTTTGAATTAATATAAATAATTAGAGGATCCCAAGCATTTATGTCAACCTCGAGCTCTTGTTGTTGAAATTGGGATTTTTTTCAGTTTCAATTGCTTCACGTAACATTCTAAGTAGGAATCGATATTTTTTTTTGCGAGCATAAGCTCGAATTTCATACCTCGCATAAGTACGAAATTCTGGTCTATCAAATTTCAACCCAATAACAGTGGTTATTTTTAATATGCCCACAGACTAGACTTTCTCGAAACATCAGCGATTAAAAATTAGTTAAATTTACTAAAACAAAATAGTAAAATTAATTAAATTTACTAAAACAAAATAGTAAAATTAATTAAATTTACTAAAACAAAATAGTAAAATTAATTAAATTTACTAAAACAAAATAGTCAAATTAATTAAATTTACTAAAAAACAATAATACTAGTTTTTACGGAATTTATCGCGTGTATTTAACTTTTTAAATACCCGTCGTTTCGAACGCTTTACAGCACTTATGGTCACGGGCGGGACTAAGATTTTCAACGTCCAGATGTCATAGTTAACCGCGGTTACCATAGATTAAAATTTAACTTTTGTTCCGATCTACACAGTATGAACTTATGGTATCTTGAAGTCTTGTAGTTGTATGCTTGGGTTGGGATTTAATTTTATTTATTATAGGATCCCAAGCAGATGGTAGCACCCAGCCATCTTCTCTATTGAAATTAGGATGTTTTTTGATTTAAATAGCCTCGCGAATCATCCTTGGAAGGAATCGGTGTTCTTTAGCGAGGATTTGTGGTCTATCAAATCTGATGTAGTGACGGGGGCGATCTTGTACGTGTTCACAGACTGCAGACTTCCCGGAGCGTCGATTCTTCACGTTTCACATTCCTCCCGTGACCATGAGTGCTGTAAAGCTTTCGAAACGACGGGTATTTAAAAAGTTAAATATACGCGATAAATGTTTCAATGTGTAGTGTTCGCGTAAATATAAGAAATCATAATGGTGCTGTGTTTAGCATGGTGATACCGATAATGGGGCATTCCACTTTAGTTCTCTGTGTGAAAATACATTTACCGCCACTACACGCGTTCACCGTGTAGTGGCGGTGTAAGAATATTTATTACCATTACCCCATGTTATCCCATGGGTGTCGTAAGATGCGACAGAGGGAAACAAGGAGATGGGCAGCAGCCTTTTTCTAATAACGACTAAAAATAGAAAAACTGCGGATGTCAACCCGCTTGTCAAGTATGGTAATCTATATATAAGGCAATCTATGGGAGAGGCCAATGTTTGGCAGTGGACGGAAGTTAAATCACAGACTGTTATTACGTTGTAGAGCCACGCTGCAGCTATATTATAGTTGTAGCACGAACGGGTCGGCTCGACCGCAGGACCACGCTCTCACAGAATACTATCCTAAAATAGCAGCTTAATGCTGCTGTGTTTCGTATGGTGAGTGTAGAGATCCGGAGACCCTTTTTCACTGGAATCGAGGCATTCCATCTTAGTCCTCAGGGGTGGCAGTGCATCTGCGTTTTGATTCTTAATTGAAGAAAAGTGTGGATGTCTTTGAGATACAGTATCCACTTACCATCAAGTGCACTTTGTGCTCGTCGGTTTTCTATTCCCTTCAAACCGGAATATAGTGTAAGCAGTGCTATTTGGTGGTAGAAATAGGCAAGTGGATGGTACATACTCTAGCTATAGAAGGATTTTTACCGCCTTCGCGATATCTTCCTCGTATTGTGAAGAAGATATTGCGCAGCACACATATGTTACACGATATCTTCGTCGTATTGTGAATAGGATATTGCGTAACACACATATGTTACGCGATATCTTCATCGTATTGTAAACCGATTGTGTTGATTATTTTTACATTAACTTCAGTTATGTTCCCATATAAATTAGGAAAAATAATGCACTTTTAAGGCTAGAAAAATAAAAGAGCAAGTTTTTCCTTAGTCCACTCAAAAAAGTAAAAAAACTTTTATTAACAAGTGAAAGACTACTTCAAACAAATATAAATAATTTCAACTCTAAAGTTAGGGTCTTATCTTTTCAACACACTATGTCTACGAACCGATTTCAGAATGTGTAAATATTTTATTGTTTAGTTCTTTGAAATCGGCTTTTAAATTTTAATTTAAAATGAATTTTAATTTAAAGGACTGTTCGCACTGACCCGGTGGCTCGGCGGTGACGGTGGTGGCGGTGGTGACGGTACTGGCAGCAGTGGTAGTGGGCTCGTCGCGGTCGACGGCGAGGTGCATGAGGTCTGCGCGCAGCGCGGCGCCGCTCGACATGCGGCGGTGGCGTGTGCGCGGCTCGCGACCCGCTCTCCCATTCACCAACTCTACCACCTTCTTCTGAGCTTCCGGACTCTGTTGCTTAACAACACGATTTCATTCAAAGACTGCTGTGTATACCACTAGATGTGCACTACGGTACTAAGCTAATCAACGATCAATTTCGACGAGAAATCTACGGTCAATTCTCCCGTAACTCCGTTGGTCGATTGCGAGCGTTCGAGAAAACTAGATCTTTTCGTTTTCGACAACATAACACTGATTTTGTTTAATGTGACTAAGAAAACACTGTCATTATTTAAGTGTGCACTTTGTCAATATAACTTGAAGTTTATTTCAGATGAGTATTTGCCTAAAATAGCAACTGTCGTAAAGGAAGCTACCCGCCCGCGCCTGAGTGACCCATAGACATTTCATAGTTTTTATACTAAATTGTGAATCTAATAGTTCACAATAGAAGAGTTTTCTTTGAATATTACAAAAATATTTCTATTGTATTATCGTTTGATTTACCCCACCAAATGGTAGCCGAAGACAGGAAAGACCAAACGAAAATTAGATGAAAAACGACAGCAATCGACGAACTGCGCGGGCGGTATCGAAGAGCACCGCTTTTTGAGGCTAGCCGGTATTAAACCCAACCAAATTAGATAAACTACAGTCAGGTTATTATTATTTCCTTACCACAGCCTATCAAATGACGTAGATTGTCTCCTAGAGAAAATATTTGCCATAGTAGCAAAGTTGGCGTGCGGGCTTACAACCGCAGTTTTTTTTTGTTTTGAGATGTTATCATGAGGACACTGTTGTCGATATCCTACTACATTTCCCTTTGTTGCCTTTTACGATACCTACAGAATGATCAAAGGTTGTGGATTATCACACAGCGAGAACTTATTAATTAGCTTGATTATAAAGATATGATATGTATGTATATAAACAGGTAATGAAAGCGTATAATTCAGATAATGATTTCTTATGGCTCCACTACACTATGCTCCTCACGCCCCTCATTGCCTACTCCTCGCGTTGCGTCGATGTTGCCCTCTCTGTCCACACGCTGCTCTACTCGTGCAATTAATCGCGTCGCTCCGCACTAGGTCTAGGTCGCTCGCGTTTGCAACACAATGGTTGTTGAAACTGTGGCAGCATGTGCCCTATATGCATATTTACTATAGCTAACTATATCAGTCATAAAAAAGAAATACAGGTCATCATCGTCGCCAACGGTGATAGTGGATGACATTCATTCATCGCAATAGAACGACGATTCCGTAACGAGCGTTCGATTCGAACTGCGTTCCCGCGATTATGTTATCGACCACATGCGTTCATATTGCCAGTACCTTTGACACGCGCCTAAAAAACCGACAAAACTGGAAATGATGGGCATGACGAGAAGCATGACGCGCGGCATGACGAGTATTGTTGCCACACTACGTCTCTGCCTCCTTCCCTCGCTACTTCTCATGCCACACGACGAGTGTGCGGCAGGTAGGTTATATTTACACGAATACTAGTAGGTACTAGATATTGTATAAAACTATTTTTACGGGTTTTATCACATGTATTTTATCTTTTTATTCAAACAGTTTTATTAATTAATGTGAATTTATATGTAATCACTAATCATTATGTGAAGTTGAAATACACACGATAACATCAGTAAAATTAATTTTATTTAATGTATAATTTAGATATCACCCACTTCGGGATGCCTGAATAATCTGAATAATTTTAGTAATATAACCTAAGTACGAGTAGTATTCTCAACAGGATACTCAATGATCACAATCCCATGATCAATGCGTGTTTTTAAAACTCTAATATTTATTTATTTAAAGTTGGTAAGAATAACCTCGCAAATATCCGCTCAATAAAATGAAATTGTGTTTGTTACCTAGTTTGAAGAGCACCTCCCGCCCTTCCTTAGTTGCGTGCACTAATCCCGTCTCCGCTAATCCCACCAACACCACCACCAGTTCACTAGGAACCACTACATTTTATTAAGCGGATATGTGCGAGGTAATTCTTACCAACTTTAATATAATGGATTTCCGCAAAGTAACGCCTGATTCTATTCTATCTAATTGTCTGTTCATTTATTTATTTACATCTTATTGTTGTATCCTTACAAAGGCTTACAATGGGTGGACTGGAATGTATTAGCCTTGTGGCATTATCTACCAGTCAACCCTGAGAAAGAAAGGTAAGTGTTGTGTATTCGTAAATATATTTTTACTGTTTATGAACATCATCCATTGTGACGCCGGAGTTAAATTAGCATTGTGATGGCCACACACGGTCAGTTCAACTGATCATTCTAACTGATCAGTTCAAACTAACACTGTTGATAATTTTTAAAATATCGGATTATCGATATATCATCATTACAAATAAACTTATATCGTAAAACTACGATATAAATATATTTTACGAGATATATCGAAAATCCGCTATTTAAAAAAAATATCAACAGTGTTAATTCGAACTGATCAGTTGGAATGATCAGTTGAACACGTGTAGCGACCATAGGGATTAGCAAATTAAGAAATTAATTGATGCTGGTAAGAATAGAACTCGGATTGCTCTTCTTCTTTATTTTTTTTTATCGGCGCTTATAAATCCACTTCTAGATAGTCTGACCTCTCCCGTCGTAGGAAAGATTTGCTTTAATCGTTACTCTTGGCAGGGGGATGAACTATCACAGTACCAGACGTGAGTACCTATGATGCTGTCGCCAGTCGACAATCTGGATTATATTATGTGTACCGTAAACAATATGGTATACCGCAATATATCGGAAGGCATAAGATTTCTTCGGCCTTTCGCATTGTAAGCTTGAGCACTCGCCCATCCCGGGCTTCCATACCTCAAAAGCGACGCTGCAGCTATTTGTGGCGGCTCGATCGGTGTAGGACCACGCTCTCTCAAAATGCCAGCGTAAAATAGCAGCATAGTGCTGCTGTTTCGTATAGTGAGTGAAAAACCGAGGACCTTTTTTACTGGAAACGAGGCATTCCATAGTCCTCAAGTGTGACAACGCCTTTTATATTGTAGTAGAAAATAAATTTAGATGTCTATGGGCTACGTCATTCACGTATCAACAAATGTATTTTGCATTCCCTTGTCACCCTTATGCTATATAAAGAAACTCTAAACTGCCGCACCTTTAATTCTCATATTCTAGTTATAATGATCACCATACCTTAACAACTTTCGGCGTAGCTGCTTTAGTATACAAGGGCTCCTGTATCTTCGCTGGTACGGACTTCACGGTCGGCATGTCGCTCGACTTCAAGGCTGGCACTGTCTTTGCTTCTGCTTTAACAGCTTCCGTGGGTTTCGTTATTGGTTTTGGGGGCTCCGGGGACTCCTGTAATAGATCATAACAATATGTTTTTTTTTTAAAGAACAAAGATGATAAATCAGCATACAGTCCACCTGATGGTAGGTGTATGCTGTGGCTCATAAGCGTTATGTCTATCCTCGATTAATATTCAAAATGCAGATGCGTTGTCACCCTTGAGGACTAAGATGAAATGCCTCGTTTCCAGTAAGAAAGTCCTCCGGTTCTCAACACTCGTACTACCATAGGAAACAGCAGTATTGAGCTGTTATTTCACGTTGAAGTTCTCTTAGAGCGTGGTCTTTCCCCGGTCGAGTTGACCCATTCATACTACAACCAAAATAGCTGCAGCGCAGGTCTACCACGTATAAATCTGTAATCGAATAGTACCCCTGAAGATTAAGATGGGATGCTTCTTTACTAGTAAAAAGGTCGCTGGTTCTTGTCATTCAGCACACGAATCACAACAGAATGCTGGTCTTTCACGCTGGTGTTCTGTCCGAGCGTAGGCAGTCCCCTGTCGAACCAACCTAATCGTGCTGCACTCATAATTCACTGCAGCGACGATTTAATACGTATTTTATTACAAAAGGTGGCAATCGAGCACATAGTCCACCAGATGGTAAAGGGATACTGTGTCTCATAGGTATTTCCTTGATTAATGACCAAACTGCATATGAATTGTCACATCTGAAGACTAGAATAAAATATCTCGTTACCACTAAAAGGGGTCTTTTTAGGGTTCCGTAGTCAACTAGGAACCCTTATAGTTTCGCCATGTCTGTCTGTCCGTCTGTTCGTCCTCGCTTAATCTCTGTGACCGTTAGCACTAGAAAGCTAAAGAAATGAACATTTGGTACCAATATGTGTATCAATCACGCCGACAAAGTGGTAAAATAAAAATTGGAAAAAAAATGTTTTATTAGGGTAGCCCCCCTATATGTAAAGTGGGAAGTGATTTTTTTTTTAATTTCAACCATAACGTGTGTTGGAAAGGTATTTAAAAATGAATAGGGGTTTACTAAAATCATTTTTTGATAATGTCAATAATTTCGGAAATAATCGCTCCAAAAGTAAAAAAAACAATGTGTCCCCCCCTTCTAACTTTTGAACCATAAGTTTAGAAAATACGAAAAAAATCTGAAAAGTAGAACTTTATAAGGACTTTCTAGGAAAATCATTTTGAACTTGGAGGGAAACAACAGTACCCACTACCGGGAGCAGTTGCAGGAGCGCGGAGCGCTGCTGGAGCGCGAACATAATGGATACCCACTTTTAAATTCATAAGTGGGAACACTTATTGTGACGAATGGGAAACTACGAAACCCTACACTGAGCGTGGCCCAACACGCTCTTGGCCGGTTTTTTATTTGTGCAAGCAGCTATGCAGGTCTATAAAGACCAGTATTGCTGTGAACCGTAAGATCTATTGTGATTGCTGCTATGGCTACAGTTCACTGCTAAGCTTCTTCTACGATTTGAATGAGTTGTTATTAACGATGAGCTATTTGACTACTTTTGGGCTAAGTATGTAGTTTCCCAGATTTTACGTTTGCAAGAGGGGTCTTACGTATTAAATTAATTGAAGATATTCGTACTTCGGTGGACCACCCATAGGGTAGTTTTGCGAGCTGGTCTTTCTCAGGTACAGCTTTAGACGAGGGCGGGCTGGTGTAGTCCAAATGATTCTTAAATGACACGTTCTTCGTCTGTTCCTTTCTTGGCTCTTTAATAGTGACTTCCTTCACTGGCTCCGGCGGGGCGGAGGGTTTTGGTCTGTAAGATATGACACTAAATGTTTTATCTTATAGGTACTATAAAATGAAACATCATCATTGCCAGCTTGTGAATAAACCACGTGACCTAGCAGTCATGGCTGGCTTTCTAGTTCAAATCAAAGTCGGACACAACGTTCGTGCAAAATAAAATGTTCATTATCGGACCTAGCTGTGTTGAGATTGTTCTCATATTTCTGACTAGCTGTTCCCCGCGACTTCACCCGCGTGTAATTTATTACGATTGGATTTTATGGGTTGTAATTCTTTCCGCGGAACCCTAAATCTTTTCCTTAAATAAAAGTAGCGTAAGTTACCCCTTATAACATCAGCTATCAGAAAGTAAAAATTCCATCAAAATCCGCCCAGCCATTTCGGAATTTTTTTAAAATTTTGTCTGTGTATCTGTCTGTCCGGACTAAACTTCGGAATAGCAGATTGATATGAATTGAATGAAATTTTAGGAACAGATTAGACAGCAATGCTACGAGAGGGATCTCGGATATATTTTATCCAAAATAACTTAAAGATATTAAAAAAAAACATTGATATGTCTTTTATTATTTCAAATGTAAATAACGCCACATGAATACATCCTATCTAGACGAAACCGGAATAGGATGTATTTATGTGGTGTTTTTATTTCATTTACAAAATATTTATTATGGTTGTAACAAAGCGATTGATAATAAAAAGGCTATTAATGTTCTAATATTTTTTATAGGAGAGATGATGGTAAGTGGTTGCTGTAGTCCATAGACATCTACATCTGTCCACGATTACGAATCAAAATGCAGATGCGTTGTCATCCGTGAGGACTAAGATGGAATGTCTCATTTCCAGTAAGTATGGTCTCCGGTACTCTACACTCATCATACAAAACACAGTAGCGTTAAGCTGTAACGCGCTTGCCCAGGTCGAACCGACACATTTGTGCTACAATTAAACTACTAATATAGCTGCAGCATGGCTCTACGACGTAACAAAATATATTATATTATACTCACTTCTCAATGTTGTTCTGAGTCTGAGGATTTGTGAATTCTGACTCAGCGCCGGCCGACGCGCTGAGGCTGCACATTGAAGTGATGTCACTCGTTTCTAAAATATGAGTACTCCTTTACTAAAAAACATTTTTCCCGATTATTGCAGGGTCTGGGCGAGAGTCAGGGTCTGGCATTAAAATTCATAGAAAATGCGCAACAGGAGTTTTATCGTAAGCGAACTGAAATTGAAATTTGAAGTGCTGCGTGCCCGGCGATGAAAAAAAAAACATGGTATAGGATATGTCTGATTTAAGTAAGTATAGTTTTTGAATAATATGAAGTCCTCGCTATACAATGGCGGCTTAAGAGTATGTCACTCCATTTCGTTCTATGGGTGTCGTAAGGGGGAACAATGGGGAATACCATGAAGAAATGTTGCATCCCTTTGCATTTACTATCATTTTCTATCATATAAATATTTATAGATGCTGCTGCCATCTACTGTTTAAGTCGCTGTCGCCTCTCGCGACATTCACGGGACGGTAAGGGTAAGGGATATTCTTAAGCGTTTTTAATAAAACTGAGGACACACCTGGAACCAACTTCAAACAAAGACGACGGCGTATATAACGAAGGCCAATAGATGTGTTGTCACATCCATGTATATTGTATAAAAAAATCTTCCTGATAACGACTCAAAATAAAAAAATACAGACCGTCTGATAAGCGTGGCAGCTAGGACAAAATCCTAGTATTGTCAACATACGCAGAAGGCCTATGTTCAGCAGTGGACTTTCATAAGCTGTAATCAAAAAAATCTTTATACAGCATACGGGTGACTTCTATGTCTAGTATTATAGACAATTCGACAATTCGGCAATTCAAACTGTGTCACAGTTAAGGATCGCGCGGGCGGCAGCTGAGCAGGTAGCTGTCACAGTAAATATACCACAAAGTTGTATTTTCATTTACGACAATTAGGCCCGGTTTACATTTTGAGAAGTGACAAGTGCGAGTGGAAAGAGTAACTGATAAATGACAAGCGCTTAGTGCGTGTAAACAGTTCCAAGTGCAAGTGACAAATGACAAGTGCTTAGTGCATATTTTATTGCCACTTATCACTTATACTATGAAGTAAGGTCTTAAGCCGTGGGAGCTCAGATGGTTAACGCTTGCTGTAAATATAACAGAACGCGAGTAACCCGGGTTCGATCCCCTCCGGCACCAATGAAATAGTTAATTGCAATTTTAAGTGCTGAATTACCACGTGCTCGGCGGTGAAGGAAAACATCGTGAGGAAAACTGCATGTCTGAGGAATAAGAAACAAAAATATTTCGAAGACATGTGAAGTTCGCCAACACGCATTGGGGCAGCGCAGCGGACACTTCCTTGCCCTAAAACCTATTCAGAAATGAGGGGAGGCCTGTGCCCAGCAGTGGGACGTATATAGGTTGTAACTTTTCATCACTTATCACTGCCTGTTTACACGCATTAAGCACTTGTTATTTGTAAGTTGCACTTGCCACTCGCACTTGTCACTTCTCAAAATGTAAACCGGGCCTTACTGTTTTAGGCAATTGCGAAATAAAGTTGTATACTTATCTGAAATAAACTCCAAATCACGTTGACAAAATGCGCACATAAATAATGACAGCGTTTTCTTAGTCAAATTGAACAAAGCCTGTGTTAGATGGTCTAAAACAACATTTGCGGCTTAAAAAACAAAGAACTAGTCTTCTCGGTCGCTCGCAGTCGACTAAAGGAGTTACGGAGAATTGACCGTAATTTAGTGCGTAATGTATTAGTACCGTAGTGCCCGCCTACTAGTATACATTTTTTATAGAATAAGAGTGACGAAAGAGCACATAATCCACCTCATGGTAAGTGGATGCTGTAATTCTTAGACATCTACATTTACCCTCGATTGAAAATCAAAATGCAGATGCGTTATCACCCCTGAGGATTAAGATGGAATGCATCGTTTTCAGTAAAAGGGGACTCCGGTTCTCTACACTCACTATACGAAACACAGCAGCATTAAGCTGCTATTTAATGCTGATATTCTGTGACAGCGTGTACTCTTCTAAGCGGCTTTTCGCCGCTTGCACCCTCCTTTCTGCCAAGGAGGGTCGCGTTCGTATACGGCTTAGAGATCTCTAGTCAGATCGTTAAGCCAATTCCTAAAAGGTTGAGTTTAGTGGGTAAAAGTCTCCACATAACCACGCAGCCGGCTGCGTGGTATGCTATGAGCATTCTCAACCTCCCTCCCCCGCTTTCCGGAGGGTTGCCCATATTTGCTTCGGGCGCAAAAAAAAATGACAGCGTGACCCCATTCCGATCGAGCCGACCCATTCGTGCTACGACTACAAGATAGCTGGAGTGTGGCTCTACCACGTTAGAAGGCACCATATAGAAATCTGGCTGTCTGGCTGTAATGTATGGGTGAGCACTGACCGGGGTGGCTGTAGGTGTCGCGCGTGGGCAGTCGGGTGCGCGGCGCGGGCGAGCGCGACTCGCGCGCAGACGATTCCGAGCTCGCATCGCTGCCCAACTTGCTCAGCAGCATCTGCATGTATTTTGCATAGGTTTTGTAATAAATATGGGTGTGCCACAGGGTTCCATTCTTGGCCCGTTCTATATTATATAGTTCAGAAGCTATTATAGTATTATATGCAGGTGATACTTCACATTAATTTAGGATTAATCGAAACAACATATAGTGCTCTTCACTAAATGCGTTCAGTTTGTTTAATTCAAAACAACGAAAGAATGCCATTTTCTTGCAAAATGATAAATTAGATTATGTTTCAAAAAGAACAGTATTTTTGGGTATCACTCTAGATTGTGGATTGCAATGAGGTCCTCACATGGAAATTTTGGCTAACAATATAGTACACAATTCGTTTGTAGTAAAATGTAGATCAAGAAACGGCATACTCGGCGTAGACAAGCTATACATATGTTTTAAAATGGATTCATTGACTGACGGATATGGCCACTGTTATGTTAGTTTATATGAATTACACTCACGGATATTTTTACAGCGCGAGTACCCTACGGTGGTCATAGGGACTACATTAATATTTCGGATTCATAATCCAGGTTAACGTGAACTCTTCGCACAGCTTCATTTGATATAAACTTTATTAAGGGGAAATATAACCTCAAATGGCTTAGCAATATCCTCCGTTATGCCGAAAATATTGCAGCATTAATTTTGAAATAAATATATGGTAAAGTTGAGGATTAATGTTAAGTACTATGTTAGACGAAAACATGATTCCGTAAAATTTTCTCGATAGAAAAATAATCCAAAATTACCTCCAAACCGAACAATAAACCGCTGTTATTCATAAAATACTTTAAATAAGATCATGAAACTTTGCATACTATAACTGAACTAACTATAAAGCAGGGCTTATTTTTTTTATTCTTTTTAAATTACCATTTTTTTCACTGTAAAAAGAAATTACCTAAACTATTAGCGTCCTGAAGCTTGTTTACTGCCGCCCGTTTCCAAGATTCAGGACCCCGATAGTTTAGGTAATTTCTTTTTACAGTGAAAATAATGGTAATTAAAAAAAATTAAAAACCTTAGCCCTGCTATATAGTTAGTTCAGTTAGTATGTAAAGTTTCATGATCTTATTTAAAGTATTTTATGAATAACAGCGGTTTATTGTTCAGTTTGGAGGTAACTTTGGATTTTTTATCGAGAAAATTTTACGGAATCATGTTTTCGTCTAACATAGTACTTAACATTAATCCTTAACTTTACCATATATTTATTTCAAAATTAATGCTGCAATATTTTTGGCATAACGGAGGATCTTGCTAAGCCACTTGAGGTTATATTTCCCCTTAAGACTAAGCCGAACCACACTCTTCGCCCTTGGTAGCACTGGTCCCGAGAGACACACCTGCAGCTCGTTCTCCTTGGCCTGCAGCGTGCGGCGGTAGCGGTTGTTGTAGTGGCGCAGCTCCTTGAGGCGGCGCTCCAGCTCGGGACCCGGCGAGCGGCACTCGTGCGTGGCGCTCGGCCGCAGCGTGGCGCGGATACGCGAGCCCGCAGCACCCGGCTGGCCGTTGCGCCGCAGCTCCAGCAACTTACATCCGACAGTTACGGTTTAGACTTTCTTCGGGATGGTTAGAGATTTCATGACATATTGAGAGTTTGATTGTTTAAATAAGAATGTCTTCTTTAAAGTAATAAATATAATAAAGCGTTTCTTTGCGGTAATCCATTATATTTAAAATGTTAAAAATTATTGAGCTAAGATCCGCTTTATAAAATAAAATGATGTGTGTTACCTAGTTTCAATACCACCATTAATGCACACAATTGAGGAAGGGCGGGAGTTGTTCTTCAAACTAAGACACATCATTTAATGTTACGCGGATGTTAGCTAATAAATTTTGAACATCTTCGTCTTTAAACGACATAATAAGGCTTCTAATTCATTCACACAATCATTCAACACAGCCTAGCAAAAGTTGACTGCTGAACATAAGCCTCGCCCGTAGACTACCTCCCCCCTGAGGGTACGTTTACCACTTTTTATAGTATAAGGGTGATAAACAAGTACACAGACCACCTGATGGTACGTTAATGTTGTGGCCCTTAGATAACTTTATCTATCACTCTTGAGGCTTAAGATAAAATGTCTTATTACCAGTACAAAGGATCTATTACAAAACATGTTAGGAACTTAAGCAATGCTATTTTTCTTTTATTTTTATACAGCCAGTATTTAATCAATGTGATTTCCTAAACATGATACATGTACAAATTATTTTAAAATTAATTATTCTTTATTAAATTACTTTAAAAATATATATTTACAAATATTTTACCTTAGGCACGAAAACCAAGCACAGGGTTGCCGTTGTACAGAAAATTATGAAAATAGCTATGAGAACGAACAAAGCGTCCTTGTGATCTGCTAATACCTGAAAAAAAAATAACAAACATCTGGCTCGAAGGATCAATTACAAAAAATATATTGTTGTTACTTACTGATAACATGTTGAAACCAATGCATGCATGTAGTGTTATAAAAGTATATAAAACTAATGATGATGATACTATACTGAGTGACAAAAATTCTTTACCAAATATAAAAAGAATATTGTGGGCTCGAAAATAGATATCAAATAAATAACTTACGAGGGCTATAGGAGCGCCCATTATGCACATGATGAGGACGTTGTACACCGACAGACCGATATGCTTGGAGTCGTTCAGTGCGGGAATGGAAACGTGACGCGTCTCCCACGCGAGGAACGCCCCAAAAACCTGTATTAATTAAGGAAATTATTATCACAAATTGAGTACATAAATTGTTTCTTGAAATTAATAATAATAAATAAGTAATTAAAATGTCAAACTATAAGATAAGAGTTGATTTTTATGCCAATTGTTTTTTTATTCAAAGATTTAGCTAATCTTTCGTAACTAAAATACTTGGGGGCAAGCAAAGCTACAGTCTTATATGATGATCTCTTTAACCTATGCTGCTGCTAGACTATGCTACGCTTGCCATGACCACCTCATCAACATTTCATTGTGTGACATCTATAAATGGTCAATAGTCGATTCCTTTATTGGGCGCACCAAAACCTATGTTTCAATTGCTTTGTTGAGTTGCAAGGTCATTTTGAAAACTTTATTTTTTCATTTAATTCTTTTAATTTGAAAAGAAACAACTTACCAATAACAATCCCTTGTATACATATATAACGCCGACGAAAATAGTCATCCTCTCGGACTGGCAGTATTCATTCTCCTGTACTATGACGATGTCTTCACTTGAGGGGTGAGGCTGTTATATAGAAAGGAAAGTTCTTAAAACGTTTTACAATTAGAGAAGCAAATTGATATAAACAATTTTATTTTAATGAATAGTAAAATGGCGCCCATTTATTGCAAATATCTGTGAAGCCCTCTTTTAGATGTCTTTCAACATGCTTGATTGCGCCTTAAAATGATACATTTGTAAAAACAACAGAATTGAATGAACGATATATGAAAAGTGACGAAGTGAATTTACTTTTCAATATAAGTATTTACTGACTGGAGGTGTTGTCGATTGTTTGACAAGAACTTCGTGGGTGTTACGAGAATACTTTTTATATCAAATCTCATTAGTGATTGTGAAAAAAGTTAACTTACCTACCTTAAGGACGCGAAAACTAAAAAAAAGAAAATATTAAAAATTAATCATAATTCGAAACAAACAAAAGAAAGTAAACAAATTGCTATGAAAATGAAAACAAAACTTAAATTTAAGGGTATGATAAAAATAAATGAAATTTTTCGAAATCTTACGTAAGGCTCCATCTGTTTTGTTGCTCTGTAAAATGGATCGGATATTTGCCAGGTGGTCATGATGGCCAGGTCGATGCATAGCAAAACTCCCACTACCATAAAAAGCTGATAGTCTTTTATGACCTGAAATACAGAGAGTATTGGATAAAGAATTTTATTTAATGTAATTATTTATACAAGTTACTCACAAAGTATTTGGGAAAGCAATGCGGCTTTCGTTATTTTAAGTATAATTTTCACATAATGAAGGTAATACTAATTATAAAAAAGTATTTTTAATAATATAATGATTTAGGGGAAAGGACATATTATGTTGCGCATAAAAAGACAATTTCGACTGATTCTGAGTCTCTGACCTCTATTAAACGACACACTGTAAGAAGTTACGCTGGGCTGGCTATACTATACAAAAAGTTTGTGTCGATTTGGGCGCCAACATTGTTCGTACCAGGAACTAAATTGACATAATATGCCATAATCCGTTGTGATGTTTAAATCTTGTATCTGTAATTTAAATATTTAAAAGAAAAAATAAAAGTATTTTGTGTAGTTTGAGTATGTTTTATAATAAGAATTATTTTTATTAATATGTAAAACACGTTACCAAAAGGAAAGTGGAATAAAATTCCACAAGTAAGTAAATTTACAGCTAGTATTTTTTTATTAAAACTATTTGATAATATATGTACTTAAAAATTTGTTACTAATATTAATATTGTAATTACACATATGTTTGGCTTTATATTATTGAGTTCTTATAAACATTTACTGTTTATCAGTTGTTATTCAATATGGTTATCGAGTTCCATGTACTTATCGATGTCCTTTTTTATCCATATTTGTTAACAACCAAAGTCGCCGACAACAGATTATTATCAAGTGTTACTGTTGTTATTGCTTCACAAATCTTAGATTAATAATACCACACACACACACATACACTCCACTCACTCACTCACACACACACACACACAAACACACACACGCACGCACGCACGTACGCCCGCACGCACGCACGCACGCACGCACGCACGCACGCACGCACGCACGCACGCACTCACGAACGCACACACGCACGCACGCACGCACGAACGCGCACGCACGCACGCACGCACGCACGCACGAATGTTCGCACGCACGCACGAACGACGCACGCACGCACGCACGCACGCACTCACGCAAACCGCACGCACGCACGCACGCACGCACGCACGCACGCACCACGAACGCCGCGAACGCACGCACGCACGCACACACGCACGAATGTTCGCACGCACGCACGCACAAGACCACGCACGCACGCACACACGCACGAATGTTAACGCGCACTCATGCACGCACGCACGAATGTTCGCACGCATGCACGAATGCACGCACGCACGCACGCACGCATGCACGCACGCATGCACGCACGCACGGAACCCCACCAACGCACACACGCAAGCACGCACGCACACACACAAACACACACACAGACACACACACACACACACAGACACACACACACGCACACACACACACCACGTTTATGTTGGGTAAACGCAAACAAAGTTATCTAAAACCAAAGAGTAAAATATTTCGAGGGTTAGTTACACTGGTGTAATATGGTATTTGGTCGAACCTACACTTAATACCATATTATTATTACACGGTTAAACTACCGTGTAATAATAATATGGTATTCTTTATAGTAATGTTGTCCCGTCACGGTTCTTTGTACGATATCATCAGAAGAGCTAGTGTCTCTATAAATTTTGCCTTGGTTTTAGATCCTTGTAGAATATTTAGAGACGACGGCAGGAGACCCGACGGTATGACTTTGGATGATGAAGCCAAATGAGAGAGATCCGATGGAGAGAGATAAAGCTTTAGTATGGGATACTACTTGCGAAGACACTTTGGCAGCCTCTCATCTTAGCAGGACCTCGTTTAAAGCAGGAGAGACATAAGAAGCAGTAAGTAGCCCAAATATGAGTCTCTGAGAGATGGGTACATATTTATGCCATTTGCTGTAAAGACTATCGGTCCGTGGGGTTCACGTGCAGTGAAGTTCCTTAACAAAATTCGCGACTGATCGTCACTGCTGGTGATAAGAGAGCTACTCAAAGGCTAAGTATATCCAATCAGAGAGGAAATATAGCCAGCGTTTTCGAAATAGGATCGTAAGATAATTTAAGTTTTTAGTTTATTTTTTATTATAGTTTTTTAATATTGTAATTTGAATTCCGAAAATGAAGTTTTAAATAACTGATAACTATGTAGTTTAAAGTTTATATCTTTTTTATATTTTGCTAGATGGTATCCGGTGCATTGCTGCAGCAGAAGAAATAATTGTAGAAATATCGTTTTAAATTGTTCCGGGTCTGGATGTTTGTCCTTGTGCAATTTATGTTTGTAAAATGCCTCCACGATACAGGAGAAAATCCTAGTGTGGAGGTAACGATTTTTTTAAATAAAGTTGGATGGGTTATATCGTTTAATTAGGAATGATAATATAATCAACTCTTAAGAAATTATTTAGACTATTATTTAGAACGCGCACTACCCACACTTGGTTAATTGTATTATACCTATAACCATCATGCAATTTCAAGCAATAAGTTAACAAAGTTTTACCGCAATATGATGAACGGTATGGCAGTGCATAAAATACGGACAATCAAACATTAATCTCTTTTTATATTAACAGATATAGTTTATTCTGTCTATAGACAGACCTGTAAATAATTAGAATAGGCGTTATTTTAGCAGCTGATTTGTTTTCTATAACACTAAAACAGAATGAACGGAATTATTATTTTGTATACATACTTACACCAGTTTAATATTTTCCAATATTAATTGAATATTTAAAACTCGCGAATAAATCAATGTGGAAACTCGGAGCAAAATTCGTTCTGTAGTTATGAATAAAAACGTGGATAGATCAACGCAGCGTCGATCTTGGTTTTATATGAGGTATTGTATTAATAAAGGTAATATTATTAAAGGTTGCGTCTAAGACGTTTATATTAATTGATACATTTATTAATTGTATGGCATTATATTAATATGATACATAAATAAAATGGACTTATCGGAGAGGCCTGGGTATAGAATGTTTTAGTTTATTTTTGTGGTATATAGAATGTTTATCAATATATTTTATCACAATGGGTGCGTTTGGCAGAAAAAAGCGCTAGCAAGCGCTTACAAGCGCTAAAATAGTTTTCGGCCAGGACACGATTTCTACTTCAGTAGCGCTGACACAATCCGCCATTTTGCTTATTTAATTTGTTTGTTTTGAAGTAGAGTTTATAAGTTGTTTTGTGCAATATTAGTTTTAAGTAATATAATAAACATATACATGTTATTAAAAATTCATGACTGGTAAGTTTTTAATATGAATACTTTACAAACATATATTTAAATTAGGTTAGGTTCCCCGGTTAAAACTAACATCGTGTCCTAGAGGAAAATAGCTACTTACGCCATTTTGCTTAAAAGCGCTTGCTAGCGCTTTTTTCTGCCAAACGCACCCATTGTCTTATCTCTATTGTTACTTCCGTGGACGCTCACTTCTGCTGTCAGCGATAAAATGGCGAAAATCAAATCGCCTCATTACGTCACGGTGTATAGCCAGTCCATTTATAGAGGTCAGTGTTCTGAGGATATTGGTTTATCTTATATAGGCGAAGAGTAGGCGACAGGCACCGACTGTAGGTAGTTATGAATTTTGATTTTGAATTTTTATATCCGGTAGAGCACTGTTGCAGTTATATCAGTAGTATAGTTGTAGCACCAATGGACGAAACTTCTTTAGGCACGTTGGACACTTTTGAGAGGGGGTGAAAGCACTGAACCTACCATAACTGGTGGAGCCACGCTGCAGCGATATTACGGTTGTAGCACGAATGGGTCGACTCGACCGGGAAAGGACCACGCTCTCACAGAATACCAGCGTAAAATAGTAGCTTAATGCTGCTGTGTTTCGTATGATGAGTGTAGGGAACCAGAGACCCTTTTTACTGGAAACGAGGCATTACATCTCAGTGCTTACGGGTGACAATGCATCTGCATTTTGATTCACAATCGAGGATAGATGTAGATGTCTATGGGCCACAACAACCACTTACCATCATGTGGACTGTGTGCTCGTTTGTCACCCTAGCCAATAACGTTATATAGAAACATTATACATTTTTAAATCTGAATTATCTAACGAAAATAACGCCATATAATATGTGTATATTATGTGATATTATTATGATTGTTACGCACGCTAATTTTCTGATCTCTTCTTCAGCATTTTTAAGATTATAGACATCCTTAAAAGTCTAGTACTTATAAACATTTTAAAACGAAAGAACGAACCTTTTTATTGAGCTTCACGTCAGTAAAGATTGAATGCACGCGCCAAGTCTTGGAGAACATGGCGCCGAACGCCAAACTGAAGCCAGCCATCAAAAGCCAGGCCCTGGCCGTGCAGATATATGGGAACGCGGCTGTACAGAGAATATTCATATTAGTGATTAAGAAGATAGAGATCGTCTGATAAAGTATTCGCCTACCAAACCTAATTTATTTACATATTTCTTCTACTTATTATGACACGACATTAAAGATATTATGTTTAAATAAAACAGTTAATATTGATTTCAAAGCAGTACAAACTTTGAAAATAACGGTCGGGCAAAATTTTAAATAAATAAATAACTAATTGCATAAAAAGCGGTTAAAAGCGCAGGGTTCCACAATATAGATGATAAATACGGGTGAGCTGCAAATAAAAGTGATAATACTGGACTTATAGAAAAATATAAATATGATAGGCCACGCAGAAAGTTTTCTGAAATGAAGTTTTTTTTTCTATAAAACGTAGGCAATGTTATAATTATAATTTATTTTGAAAATACGACAGTTTACGAGTAAAAATATGAATTTCGGTTCCAAATTTCCCTCCACATTTCTTTACGAGCTTTGATAAAAGTTACATAATGCTATACATATATACCGTTTGGTATTTTATTGACAATTAGATCAGTGTCAGAAACGTTTTCGAGCGATAATTATGATTATTACTAAATTTGAAGCAGATTTGTTTCGGCCTATTTACAACGTTATTACAGGTGATGAATCTTGGATTTATCAATACGTTCCAGAATCGACGATTGCGCTGTTCAAAATCAACCAATATGAAGCAATTGAGAATTGCAGAGATTTTGATAGCTATTTTTTTCTTTGACGGGGTATCTGGTATCAATCCCTTTACGGAGTAGAAGTACCATCAATGTCAAATGGTATACCACCAATTGCTTGCCAGAAGTGTTCACTGCCGTGAGCAACAAGTGACCCAACATTGGGATCTGCGTGCTACTGCTTCATCATGACAACTTGCCCGTTTTAACATCAGTTAAACTTTTGAATCACCCAGCCCTGATTTGACATCGTGTGATATCATTTTATTTCTTTTATTTAAATTGAAAATGAAGAAAAAGCGCTGAAAGATGGACTAGAAGTTTTCGAGGGGTCTGAGATGGACTGTAAATAGCTTTTCAAAAATTGGTTAAAATGATAAACCTTTTTTTGTCGGGTTGGCCCTCATAAATTATTAAGGTTCACATTCCAGGGATGCTTAAAAACCAAAAAATACAAAAGATTTCTTTCAAATATTTAAAAATAAAAACTTTAAACATTTAACTTTTTTAGTTTCCCAAAACTTTTTGAGTGGTCAATAAGCTACAAGATACGTTTATTAACTAAGATAGTAAAACTTACGCGAACTCTTCACACACACAACAGACCGACAAAAGCGCCGCGGATGAAGGTAAAGGAAAAATAAACCAAAACTTGGAAACATGCTGTCGACTCCAGTGACCTAGAAAACGGCCTAGGTCTTTCTCAGAACAATAACTCAATGAAGTCAAAGGGGGGCTTAAGTTCCCAAAATTTGGTTAGCGGGTTCCATTCTGCCCAGGGACGAAGCTAAAGCTGTAGGGTTGGGAGCAAGCTCTATTACCTCCTCGCGGCGTTTCCTGAGAAAGACCTAAGAATCAATGAATTTGATGAGATCAGATGGTGTATTAGCATGACAAACATTGTGCTAGCGACATGCGAATTGAAAGTTATCGTTTTCACTTTTAGTTTATCGCTTTTAATAGACTGCTTTATCAATTTCCCTTGTCCAGTTCTAAAGGCTTTTTAAAATTGTCTTCATTCCTTTCTATACGATATAAGAAATTTTATAGAACTTATAAAAGTACATTACTTCCTGAAATATCTAAATAATTATTCAAACCAAGACAAACTAAGAAAGGAACAACTACAATTATAAAGGACAATTTAGTCAGCTGGTCAATGAAAATGAAAATTCAAAAACGCATAAGTTTACCTTCGATCCGTCAAAGAGAAGAGTAAACAACAAAGATATTGATGACAATGCAAAATATACTGAACATTAAATATATCAAAGAAAGTTGTGTTTAATAATATACTTACCAATACTGCTGAGGCTGGAGTCTAAGCCGAGGAAGATAACGCTCATGTAGGTAAGCATGCAGCCTACAATGATCAGATTGTTCAGATGTGGTGAAGACATTTTTATGTACCTGTAATAAAGAAATAATTTACTTTTCTTAACCACCTATTCGAGTTTTGGCGGGAATTTGACCGTCGACGGATTGTTGCTCCTGACTTATTGTTTATATCTTTAAAGAATTGTTTGAAGTGGATTTTGACACGTAAAACTAATGCGATTTTGACGAATGATGATAATTTGATGATGAATGAACATATTAGTTATTTCGTTCCTTAAGAACATGAGTTACCGTCATCATCGACTGTCCGCTAGGTTGAGCTGTCGTCGAAATCTCCCAAAAACTTCGCTTTCGCATCAGCATATTGTTAAGAAGTGAAAGTAATAATATTGGATAATTTATTATTACTTGACACTGGAAAATGTATAATTGAACGAGTCATTGAATAAAGAAAGAAAAAACTACCTATTCGAGTAACAAAGTTATTAATGATTTCGATACTTGTAATCAAGAACACACTTTGTTAAGGGGATTACATCGCTCAAATCCTAAAAACACCCTATGTTTAATAAAGTTTGTATGTGAATCTGTTTGTGCCTGTGCCTCATAAAAAATATATGTTTAACTTAAGGTTATCACAAATAAATTGTATTGTTTAAAATTTTAATAAAAATGTCCAAATTTTGGAAAACAATCGAAGTAATATAGGAAAATGTAATATAGGAAAAGATGTCAATGAAGGAGACGTATGGTTGGTACTAAAACTTTAATTAGACTACCTCCTTATTCTACCTTAACACTAAAGTATATTAACTATATTTTTTTATCAATTCTTAAAATAGATCCTTAAGATTATTCTAAAAAAGGTTAATATCATTATGAAAACTATAATCTAAGACATATCTAGAACGCAAAAATGCATAGTCACAGTAGTATAATTGACATAATCACGCATAATTATGTATAACATAAAATTATGTTTTGATTTTCACGAAAATTTACAGTATTATTTATTCGTATCCTTAATCATTTTGTTATTATGCCTACCATTTATCTAGTCAGGACAATAATGGTAATATATATAAATTACGTGTCACGTAGTTTGTCCGCGATGGGCTCCTAAACTACTCAACCGATTTTAATAAAATTCGCACACCGTGCGCAGTTTGGTCCAGCTTGAGAGATAGGATAGTTTTTTTTGACCATGAGTGACTTACATATTTTTTTGCAAATTTAAGGATTTTAATAGGCTATGACAAAGGGTCGTCGAAAAGAGCAGAACAACGTCTGCCTGGCTAGTAGCTAGTACTTTAGCTATTCATTACACATGAATGTCATTTCTTTCACATACTCGGCTCGCGTATATACATGATCAAGAAAATTACCAATATCATTTAATTCACTTCTTTACATTTCAGCTCATGTAATTCATTATTTAATTGTACCATAACTTTCACGTACACGGCTCGCGTATATACATGATCAAGAAAATTACCAATATCATTTAATTCACTTCTTTACATTTCAGCTCATGTAATTCATTATTTAATTGTACCATAACTTTCACGTACACGGCTCGCGTATATACATGATCTAGAAAATTACCAATATCATTTAATTCACTTCTTTACATTTCAGCTCATGTAATTCATTGTTTAATTGTACCATAACTTTCACGTACACGTCTCGCGTATATACATGATCAAGAAAATTACCAATATCATTTAATTCACTTCTTTACATTTCAGCTCATATAATTCATTATTTAATTGTACCATAACTTTCACGTACACGGCTCGCGTATATACATGATCAAGAAAATTACCAATATCATTTAATTCACATCTTTCCATTTCAGCTCATGTAATTCATTATTTAATTGTACCATAACTTTCACGTACACGGCTGGCGTACATACATGATCAAGATAGTGGACAATATTCCTATACAACTCATAATAAATTATCATTTCCCTCATTAAAATACGTTAAAACTTATTCCGCATTTTAATTGTGTCCGAACAACCTTAAAAAATTAATCTGCTATTAGGTTTTCCAAACTCTCAGCTGATCAGGCTGATTGTATGTGGATATACTAACCTCCGATAATTTTCTTTATCTTACTCTCGCAACTATACATTATCAATCTTTTCATTTATAATTATGTATTCCGTAACTTAACCATACATTTAATCACATCTTTTACTTTATATCATAAAATAATCTCGTATAATATTTAGTTACAGTGTCAGTCAGGGATTGAGGTTCACAATATGGGAACAACAAACTTTAAATCAATTAGTTGTGTAAAACATTATATATGTAGTGAGTTTCAAAATCGTATTATCCGAAGAAAATACTTTCATAATCTAGTAGTAGTACTGTTTTCCAAGAAAATAATAAATTATGATAGTCAAAAGCTTATGATTTAAATATTCAAACAATATAAAACCGAAAATAAATTATTACATTTCACATTAAGATAAACAGAACCAAGAAGTCAATGTTAAGCAACGTAATCATTATAATTAATATAGCAACACACAGATAAAAAACCAATTGTAATCATAAAACCGCAAATATTTGGAGACAAGTTTGTTTTAAATTCCAAAGTACGTATAAGGCATCGTTTGTAATTACATCGGACTAGGATGACATGGTGTGATTCACGCCTAATTTTAAGATAACTTTACAATATTTTATAATATGAATGCAAGTAAAATGTACCTTAAAAGGATAGTTTCAAACATTTCCTTAATTTACACAGAAGTTTAGAAATAGTTACATTGTTAATATTTATGTTACTTTTACATACATCACAAAATGCATTATTTTTTTTTTTAATTCTTTTGCTATAAAAAATTGCTTTTTTTAAAAAAAATCACTATAACAGCTATAAAACTCACACAACGATAGATTAATTTATTTCAATATTTTGTATTAATGTAATTAAATATTATTATTTCGTTCTTTTTGTCAGGATAAAGTAATAAAATAATATAAAACTATAAATGAATAAAAGTAAATATAAAATTGTCAAGCCACATAAGTGATTAAAATGTAACTTAATTTTTAATACTGTATTATGATTGTATTTTTTAAATAATAAAACAAATGTTGAATAATCATTTATATCACAACATACATACATACATAAACACTCACGCCTGTCACCCAGAGGGGTAGGCAGAGACTACAGACTTCCATTTGGCACGATCCTGACACACCTCTCTTGCCTCCTTCACATCCATACACCTACGCATACATGCTCGTCGGTTAAGGGTACTCCTAATTTGGCCCGTTTTCAATAAATCGCCAATTTGGTCGATAAATTTTCGCCTAGGACGTCCCTTTCCGACTCTGCCATTCACTTCTGCACCATAAATTTTCTTTGTCACTCTTTCCTCATTCATTCTTTCCACATGACCAAACCACCGAAGCATTCCTTTCTTAATCCTGGTCACAACATCATCTTGCAAACCACACTCTTCTCTTATTACACAATTTCTTACCCTGTCATTCAGATTCAGCCCTAACATACTCCTTATCGACCGCATTTCTACTGCGTTTATTCTACTCTCGTGCTTCTTCTGCCACACCCAACTTTCACTACCATACGTTAAAGTAGGGACCAACACAGCATTGTGAATTGCCATACGTGCCTTTTTCGACACATTTTGACTCTTCACAATAGAGTGCAAGGCCCCATTTACTCTATTTCCCGCATTCACTCGTCGTTCTATATCCTTATCATATCTCCCATCCCTGCTAAATACGCAGCCCAAATATACAAACTCATCTACTTGCTCGATCAACTCCCCTTCTATTCTTATTTCACAAATCGTTTTACTTTCTTCTCTTTCAAAAACCATAACCTTCGTCTTACTTGCGTTCACTTTCATACCCCTTTCTTTTAATGATCCGCTCATTAATGTAACCATCATTTGCAACTCGGCCGCCGACGACGCAAGAATAACTTGATCATCGGCGTACAAAAGGCATTTGACGGTTAACTCACCCCTTCTTAATCCGCATTCTTCAACTTTGCAAATTTTGCAAACAACTGTCCATAAATAGGTTGAACAGCCACGGGGAAGCCACACAGCCCTGTCTGACACCTTTATGGATGTCAAACCAGTCCCAGTAGACCCCGTTGATCCTAACACAAGCACTAGAGTCCCTATAAGACTAATGCTGTATCAAGCCACGCTCAACCTAAATGAGTTCAGTGTTTGCCATAGCAAATCCCTATCCACTCTGTCATAGGCCTTTTCCAAGACCATGAACACACAAAAAACCTTTTGGTTTTTGTCCAGAAACTTCTCCGCGATCATGCGCATGGAAAAGACTTGATCTGTACATCCCATTCCCTTTCTAAATCCCGCTTGCACATACCAAATTTTTCCATCAGTTTCTTTCATGACCCTTTCAATCAGTACCTTAGCATACACTTTTCCCACAATGCTAAGAAGGCTGATGCCATGGTAGTTTTTACAGTCCTGCTGCGACCCTCTTCCTTTATATACTGGGACTATCACGGCTTTGCACCAGTCTACCGGTACCCCCTTCAGTTCCCAGCATAAATTAAACAAGGTGTGCAGCAGGCCTGCCACCACTTCCTCTCCAGCCCTTAGCATTTCGAGTGAAACTCTATCATATCCGGCAGCCTTACCTGCTTTCATGCTTTTCATTGCTTTCATTATTTCATCTATACTTATCTCGGTACCTCTTTCCTCTTCTTTCGGTGTTTCTACTTCACTTAGTACACACGTTGTCTCCTCACTCATAAACACGCTTTCAAAATATTCCTTCCATCTCTTTAAACTCAAAATTTCATCATTCAGAATATAGCCATTCTCGTCTCTTATAGCATTCATCATAGGCTGTTTTGAATGTCCCCTGGCAGTTCTTTAATATCACAATTATCCGGTAAATAATTTCTACTGAGTCATATGTTAAATACAGAATATTTTATATTTAACTTTAAATAAACATAATAGCTAAAAGAATATAAAAATAATCTCAAATTGATAAATAAACTTTTAAATGGAATTAAAAATCACGCAAATGCGAAGTTACCTCTCAAATCTTCATTCTTTTCAACACAATTTTTACATCCTTCTGGGTGATGCTCTTTAGAATACAACTGCTGCTTTCCCTTTTTAAATTAATATGCCGTATCTTGAAATCCGCATTTTATTTTCCTCATTCTTTGTTTACTAATTAATAATATTCATAGTTTGATTGTCTTCATAGTACTACATATATTTCAATTTTAATTTTGAGTTAACTTTTTTTAAATTATTATTGTGGCCACTTCTCGTATCAGTTTTTGGTTTTCTTGCCACATCCGGTAGTATGTAAATTCAATAATTGAATTTTTTTTACTATTATTTCTTTAAATTATTTTCCCATTTTATTAAAAAAAATTTGTAGCGCGGCGCGCGCGCGTTGCGCTGCGACAATGCACGCGCACCGCCTGGCAGGGTCGCCATGTAATATAGGAAAAGGTGTCAATGAAGGAGACGTGTGGTTGGTACTAAAACTTTAATTAGACTACCTCATTATTCCACCTTAACACTAAAGTATATTAACGTGGGAGTACTACACTGTAATAGGCTCTTTTTTAAGATAAATTGTAAATTGTCTCATTGATTAAAACTACTTTTACGGATTTTATCGCGTTTTATTTATATTAATTTTAATGCCAGACGTTTCGGGTGCTTTCCAGCACCCATGGTCACGGGGGACTGAGTCCTACTGAGTCCTCCTGAGTCCTCATCCCCCGTCAGGGAAACCGAGATAAAAAAAAAAAAAAAAAAGAAAAAAAAAAATCAATGTATAGTGTTCGCGTAAATATAAGAAACCATTATGTAAATTGGCTCAATAGTTAGACATGTATTATATACCGAAAAACCGCAATCACGCATTTAACAATAAGTATTCTTTATTTCATTTACCATTTTTGAATAATAAAGTAATACCCAAAATTACACTAGCACCCCGTGGCAAGCACCCCCGCAAAGATCAGTGACGGATACTCCAGACGCAATACATTAGTGTCTCGACGACTCTAAGTCTAATCCACAAATCCTCAAGGTCATTGGACAATGTAATACCCTTAAATTTAAATTAGGAAAACACACGCATATGCATATATAAAAAAAACACACACACACACAACACGCACGCACGCACTATAACTGATCATTTTTGTGCTCTCTAATTCGGGTTCCACTTTAGCTCAGGTTCCTGCTGATCAAGGAGAAAAACGAAATAAGAACATTTTGTAACAATAAAAAAGCTAAATGGTTTTGATACCTTTGGTTCCTATAATGGATGTTCATTGCAAGAAATCCAGTGGCTAGAAGAATTCCCAACACCGAGCAGGACACGAGAACCGCATAGATGGTGATGTTAACTTGAGTGTGCTCGATGAGTCGTAATGTACGATCTTTCGGCGGATTTCTGGAAAAAAAAATTCTCGACTGATTACGCTATCTGATATGCGTACGTGCATGTTAGTTCCTTTGTCCTTAATTAGTCTATGGATTCAAAAAAATTGTATCCCAATTCGTTTATTACAGTTGCACGACTTTTATGGATTTTTTTAAAGCATTCGGTGACAAAAAAGCACACAGTCCACCTGATAGTAAATAGATGCTGTGGCCTGTGTGGTTACATTACATTTATACTCAATTATGGATCAAAATGAAAATGCGTTGTCACCCCTGTGGACTAAGACGGAATGCCTCAATTCCAGTAAAAAGGGTTTCCGGTTCTCTACACTCACCATACAAACACAGCGGCATTACGCTGCTATTTTACAACGGTATTCTATGAGAGCATGGTATTGCTCTGGTCGAGCCGACCCATTCGTCCTACAACTATACTACTAATATAACTACAGCATGGCTCTACCACGTAAAAAAAATGGATGGTTTTAGAATATTTAATTAACAATTGATTATGGTTTTAGAATATTCCAATCGGACACGGCTTGGTGATGGAGTGTCTTAAATCGCTAAATTGGGTGTTTCCCGTTTGTTGGAGTGAGCCGTTACAGTCTACTGCTGAACATGTGCTTCTGCCGTGGTAGGGAAAATTTGCCTTAATCGTTAAGCGTTAAAGTCAAGCTGGTCTTGGGCTTTTCCTGTTGTATGAAAAAGTCTCTCTCCTTAATTTGGATTGGATTGATGGTCGCAGTAATAGATGTAACCACAGAAATAGTAATAATAAGACAATAGGAATAAATAAGCGCTCGATTACTTGCAAAAACCGATGTCGCCACATCTTACCGTATTATAAACATACGCAATGCACAATGATATCTAATGTTTCACATTACATTGCTTGGCGGTTTGTCAACGTAGAACAAAAGCAGCAATGATAATTGTACAATACGAATAGTAATAAATGAAACTTTACAAAGGTAAATATCATGGTAAGTCAAGTATTCATCTAGATGTTAGTTAGTTAAAACAATGATAATTAGTAAATAATCAACTTACCGATGAAATGTTATGCCTTTATTAGTTTAAATACACGTTCTTGATAAGTTTTTACAACTGATTATGCTGCAGTTCACCTTTATAAATTTATAATAACATAAATGCACGTTCGACGTTCCCCGCGAAACAGGTGAATAATGTTCGTCAACATATAATAGCGGCGACAAGGTCACGCGTCTATGCGACTTCTATTTTTTTTAAATTTATTTATTTAATAAATACATGATCACAAAGATGAATTTCAGTGTAAACATAAACTCATTAGAGTTTTTCCGTACACCATTGCTGTCGACACATTATTCTAATTAACACTTTACAATACATTACATTACTAAAGTTACATTAATATTATTATCAACTTAAATTAGGTGCATTAAATGTTATGTTTCTATTTGACAAACTTGTGGGTACAAAAATATAAAATAGTTTTAGGCGATGAGCGTAAAATCACATGGTGAACTTATTACATTCTGTGAATAATCGTGATCCTGTATCACGATTATTCACTTTGATTATAACATATATTTTCATAAATTTATAAGATAATATGTTGGTAAAGTAAACCAATAATATAGAACGAGAAGTTGTTTTAAGTGTTACGAGTATTTAGTAAGAGTTAATTGTATATAAAAAATGTTTAATTTATATTTTATGTTTTTACGTGTTATGACGTCTTTCAAAGATTTAGGTAACTTATTGATTAGATTAGGTATAACATAGTTTAAGGTTCTTTTTCCGTATAAATTATTATATTTAGGTAATTGCAGTTTTAGATTATCAATTCTGCGTGCGGAGTATAATAACTTATCTACCTTTTTAAAATTTTCAGTAAAGTAATTTTCAGTTAGTAATGTTAGTTCAACTTTGTCGTGAATAGGTATAATTTTACAAAATGCAAATAGTTTTCGATAATCATCTTTAAAATTAATTTTGATATTATTAGGGACTATTTGTTTTAAAATGCGCAGCTGAAGTGAGTATATTCGATCTATATATGTTTTATAGGTTCTCCCATAGCTTGACAAGCCATATTGTATAACAGATTCAGCTAAGGATTTATAGAGCATTAAAGAGGTTTTGTAAGGTATTTTGTGTTTGATTATGTAAATTTTGCTAATATCCCTCTTAATATATCACAAACACGATTTACATGGTCTTTCCAGTTTAGCAGATCTTCAATTATTAGACCAAGATAGGTGTGCTTATTTACAATTTCTATGGCATCGCAATTACAGGGTGTCGAATTGTCAGTATTTTGTATATGAAGGCAGTGATGTGTGTGCGCTATTAGTTTAGGCATAAAAGAACTTCTGTTGTGGCTTGTACTTATATAAATAAGTTTAGTTTTGGCAGCATTGAGTACTAAACCGACGTCGTGTGACCACTTCGTCAGTATGTCAAACTCTTTTTTGAAGTTTCATTAGTACCTCCTGTATACTACGCCCAGCAGCTACTAAACAGGTATCATCTGCAAACAGATAGATCTCACACTGTTTAATTAAATTAGAAAGATTGTTTACGTGTGAGAAAGTGTAAAGGTCCAAGAACTGAGCCCTGTGCTGTGCCTTCAGTTACCTGGACAGGGAAACTAAGAGCATCACCAATTTTTACTCGATAAGATCTTTCATGGAGATAATTTTCACACCACGCTAGTAATTTTCCTCTAATTCCGCTATCATTTAAGCTTTGAATTAATTTATTGTGTCTTAGCGTGTCAAAAGCTTTGCTATAATCAATGAAAAGGACTAGAATGTGCTCTTTAGAGTCAATATGCGTGTACAAACTGTCTGTAAATGCAGAAAGTAGTTGTGAGGTATTTTTTGAGGTTGGAAACCATATTTCAAATTATTGAATTGACTTTCATAAAACCTATGGATATGTGCGCTTATATATTTTCGACTATTTTGTCTATGGTAGGTAATATCTTTATTGGTCTGTAATTCTCATACTCAGTCCTACTACCTTTTTTATGTATTGGTCGAACAATTCCATTTTTTAGCAGGGGAGGATATTTACCCGTAATAACGCTTGCATTTATTAATTTAGCAATAACTGTTTTGATTTTTCCGCACAGCAGCTTTATATCAATGGCTCTTATCCTGTCTGCCCCAGGGCTTTGTTACTATTTATTGATTTAATTATATTTTCCACAGCTTTAGAATCGGCAGGGATAAATCGCATGGTTACATTTGCCGAAGATTCATAGATTGTCTTATTATTACGATTTCTATGGATATAACGCACCTTTGGCGACGCCGCTCATCGCCCGACTATTTTACGTCTGGCGTAAACAAGATGATTATATCGCCACCTGTCAGAAGCTTTCTGGCGTTTCCCAAAGTGGTCTCTTAAGATATCCAAGGGACAAAATGGTGACATGGATTCTCTTACGACGTCATCACACTGCACCTAAATCACAAGTACCTAGTATAACTGTAATGACAAAATATATAAAAAATCTTGCACTGTTAGAGATATATAGGTATTACGTTTGACGTCGAAGAAATAAAAGAACTTACTTGCCAATCCACTTGAACGGTTTCCAACTTCTCAAATCCAAGTGATCCCTCTCAGCACAATACTCGCCTACCTTCACTTCGCCGACCTGGTCCCCTTGGAACTGTTTCAGGAGGATGGACGCCTTACGCTCATTGTCATAGAATCTCACTGGACCCTGTTGAAAATAATAAACTTTATAAAATGCTCACTTATGAATACCTCCCTTATCATCCCGTGGATGTTGTAAGAAGCAACAGAGGGAATCAAGCCAGGAGACATACGTGGTAGAGCCTTATATATGTTACAGTCATAGTGATTAAATAGATATTATACATAATGACTGGTCATTATATATAATAGCAAAATTGAATAGACAATATGATAAATTAATCACTTTATCCGGATGATTATATAATAGCGGGTCAAAGTTAGCCAAAGTAATAAATACGGTGTAACTGACTTGTTACCCCTCCCGCTTTTCATCCCGCTGCCGCGTGGCGTGGTCACCGCGATCTCGTGGCTGACGCAATAGTGTTCGTGGAGTCGCGCAGTGTGTGCCGCAATTTCCGCGAGTTTTTACATTTGTATCAGTATTAGAGCCATGCTGCAGTTATATAAGTAGCAGTTGTAGCACGAATGGGTTGGCTCGACCGGGGAAGGACCACGCTCTCACAGAATACCAGCGTAAAATAGTAGCTTAATGCTGCTGTGTTTCGTATGGTGAGCGTAGAGAACCGGAGACCCTTTTTACTGGAAACGAGGCTTTCCATCTTAGTCCTCACGGGTGACAACGCATCTGCATTTTGATTCGTAATCGAGAATAGATAGAGTCTATGGGCCGCAGCAACCACTTACCATCAGGTGGACTGTGCTCGTTTGTCACCCTATCCTATATAAAAAAACATGAGCAAAAGCGTTCTCCAAACAACAACTAGGAAATAAAAACTGCGATTGCCAACTACTCGCCTGCAAGATACTAATTATGGCAAATATCCAACAGTGGACTTTACTGCAGCGTAGTACGGCTGGCTAGTTCCTGGAAGTATCACACTCATACAGATTAGTAGCATGATATAGCAGCATAATGCTAGTGAGTGTCCACGTTTTAATTATTATTTTCAGTTGTTATAAGGGTTACGTTGCTGCCCATCTCCTATTTCATTTCCCTCCATCGTCTTTTCACTCAGGAGATGATATGGGGTCGTGGGTTCTCTTACACTGCCACTAAACGCCAAGTTCGTTTGTCGTTCTAACATATATAATAAAAATATAATTTTCCAATTTTCTTTTTCTTACAGTGACTCCTTCAAATGTGACGTTGCTGAGTGCATCCAGAAACAGCTGCTCCCACTCTTTGTCACGATACCGGAAGTCCTGCACAGTCCTCTCCTTGTATTTCAACTTGACACGTTGCGCTACCGTCTGGATTGCTAAAGCCATCGCCCATATACCTAAAACGTTAAAATAATAAATTATAGAAATATTATCTGGCCCGGCAGGCGTTCATCATGATCATGATTATCATCATTTCAGGAGCTCATAAGTCCACTGCTGAACATATGGCATATGTTCAACAGTGGACATATCCTATATACCTCCTATATACTCATATATACCTCGAGGGAGGTATGCCATAAAGCATGGTCCTGAAACAACCATCGATTTCCTGCAAATCTTCCCAAGTCGTCACTCCATCTAGTAGGGGGTAGACGTTGTTCTTTTGTATTTAGACCGGAAGCAGAGAGTGTATAATCAATTTGGCCCAAGTTTACACCAGTAGATAATTATATGTCAATGATTTACTCGATAGACTCGTATCAATTGTACGTGCTGTAGATTTAAGCAGGTTCGAAGAAGTTTTTGGCTTAATATCCAAAAAAAAAAATTCATTTACTAACCGTCGTAAGTATATCCGTGGAATCTTGAGTACTCGATACCTCTTCTGCGATCATACTCCACTTGATAATCTTTCGCGGTCTGAAAACAACACTAGGTTGGTCATTTTTATCTTAGTACCCTATCAGTGCAGGCACTGCTGCTTGGTGACAGTAATGGGTAAAAGGGTGCTAACTAGCCTGATGGACTCTTAGGCAGAAAAGAAGTTGAGTCACTTAATCATCATCATTGTCATTAAAGCCTATTTTAGTAGGCTTTAATGAAAAGGATGGACTTTAGTCCACTGCTGAATATAGGCCTCCATATAGAACAGATTACCTCATACAGGATAGAAATGCTATAGACAATACGCTTGGCAGGCTACCGAAGTTTTTTATAATTTTTTGTTGGCACCAGGAAGGTGCTGCTGTCGATATCCTGTTTCTACTTCTCTCTTGTCTCTTGCCACTTACGACAGCAAAGGTATCATATACGCCAATGGATTATTTTGCGCCGCCACTACATGGCGAGTATTTTTTTTACATTAGAGGTATATACGAGCGTGCGGCTCACCTGATGGTGGAGTGGAGCGTGGCGGTGAGGTCGCAACGGTATGGATCTGAATGTAGGGTGGTGGTGGAGTGGAGGCGGAGTGGAGTTAGAGAGCAGACGGGTGAGGATGGGGGTGTCGAGTGCTGCGGTGAGGTCGCGACGGTGTTGATCTGCGTGTAGTAGAGTGGAGGTGGAGTGAAGGTGGAGGTACTTACGATGCCGGAGACGGTGGTCTTGCCGGTGATGGAGAGCGGCAGCAGGTTTGCGAGGATGGCGGTGTCGAGTGCGGTGGTGAAGAAGCGGCGGTGTTGATCTGCGTGTAGTAGAGTGGAGGTGGAGTGAAGTTGTAGGTACGTACGATGCCGGAGACGGTGGTCTCGCCGGTGGTGGAAAGCGGCAGCAAGTCGGTGAGGATAGCGGTGTCGAGTGCGGCGGTAAGGTCGCGGCGGGCGCACGGCGCGCTCCGCAGCCACCAGCGTTCGCTGTACGTGCCCAGTAGCAGCCACGTGTACGCGCGCCCGTACATCTCCAGCCTGCAATGTGCACTTGACTTTACATCCTATGTAGTAGTCACGTTTTTTATAAGTAGTAAGGGTAACAAACAAGCACATAATCCATCTGATGGTAAGTGGATACTGTGGCCCATAGACATCTTTGTTTAATAGAGTAAGGATGACAAACGAGCACAGTCCACCTAATGGTAAGTGGATGCCTTGGTCCATGAACATTTACATTTATCCTAGATTAAAAATCAAAATGCAGATGCGTTGTCACCCCTGAGGATTAAGATGGAATTCCTCATTTCCAGTAAAACGAGTCTCCGTTTCTCCACACTAACCATACGAAAGACAGCAATCAGAATTAAGCTGCTATTTTACGCTAGCATTCTGTGAGAGCGTGGTCTTTCAACCATAATATAGCTGCAGCCACGTAAAAGAGCTGAAAGCTATATAGATGCGAATTGCTCGGCTTAACTAGAGAAGGACCACAAATAGTAGCATAATGCTACCGTGTTTCTTATGGTAGGAAGGACGGGAACGGACTAACTTAACTTTTTAACTGGTAATCAAACATTCCTTTTAGTCCTCAGTAGTCACAACGCTACTGCATTTTTAATCAAGGAAATATTTAGATAACTATGTACTTGAACTTACCAACTGGTGGAACTGTTCCACATACACAGACATTCTTTTAAAAATAGTAGATCAAAGTCAAACACGAACTAAATTAGGATAAAACAATGCGGTATCTGACTACAGACGTAATGCCGACAGGGACTAAAGCAAGAAAATTCAATAAAAACCTTTATCTCCAGGCTACGATTCATTTTTATGTCATAGATTTATTGCATACTACATTGCACAACCATATTATTCAGTTCTGGAACAATTATTTATAGCTTGTTGCGTGCGGTATTTCAACCAGTGGCCCACTACGCTGCAACCAAAAGCTTACTTTTGGTTGTGCTTTTTGTTTGCCTACGCTACCAAGCTTTTGAATCATTGCATTGTATGGAAAGTTATAAATTTACAGCCTTTATAAGTCCCACAGCTGGGCACTGCCTTCTCTTATTTCTAAGCCTGTTGGCGGACTTACTACATAACCAAGAAACATTTCTCATGCAGAATTCCTCACGATGTCTCCTTCACCGTCCAGCTATGGTAAATAAGCATTTTAAACTGTATGTAACAATTCAATTGCTACCAGCGTGAATCTAGCCCGAGTTGATCGCGTAGCAGCGTACAAAACACGAAGAAAATACAGGTTACAGGAAGAAAACTTATATATATATATATATATATATATATATATATATATATATATATATATATAATATTAAGGAGGTCTTAATGCTGAAGAAATCTCGTCCATATAACTTTAACGTTAAGGGAAAATTGTAGTACTATCAGGAGAAGAAGAAACAGAAGAAAAGACAAATCAAGCTATTGCAAGGAATAAAATATTTTACTTGTAAGCCTCGCAGAATATCCTCATTGCCCAAGTCTCGTTAAAGTTTCCGAGGATAATCCGAATGTCTTTCTCCTTAAGTTTGGCCAGCGCACTTCTGACTTCTGTCGCAAAACTCTGCGTCTCGTCTATTTCGAAGCCATGCACATCCAGGTCTGCCAGCAGACGATTATGAGCCTGTAATATAAAAAAGGTTTTACTAATAGTTATGATAGTTCAGGAATTAAATGCACGGTGTAAATTACACGCACGCACGCACGCACACACTTACGCACGCACGCACGCATTTACGCACGCGCGCACGCACCCACGCACTTACACTCGTAAGCACGCACTTACGCACGCCCACACGCATACGCACACACGCACGCATATATACACACACACACAAAACACTATTTTTGGCCACGAAGTTTATCTGGGGAATTTTTTACTAACACCGTTCAAAATATGTTGCTTGTTAAAGTTGAAATCTCTTTTGTGCAGTTTTCGCTTCGCCATCTTCGGCTGTATCACCACTGTCAGTGGCCATTTTTTTTTGTTTATCTGTAGCCAATTCACTATAACGGTGATAAACGAGCACACAGTCCACCCGGTGACAAGTGGATACTGTGGTCCATAGACATCTATAGTTATGCTGAATTGGAAATCAAAAAATGCAGATGCGTTATCACTTCCGAGGAATAAGATGGGATGTCTCGTTTCGAGTTAAAATTGTAAGTAAAATTGTATCGTCTCTCACCTATTTTTGCCGCCATATAGCAGTGCTTGTACTGCTGTATCCCGGTCTGAAGGGATACCCTTTTTACTGGAAACGAGGCATTCCATCTTAGTCCTCAGGGATGAGAGCGCTTCTGCATTTTGATTCTCAACCAAGGATACATGAACATGTCTAAGAGCCGCAGCACCCACATACCATCAGCTGGACTGTGTGCTTGTGTGTCACCCTTATTCTATAAAAAGATGTATAGAGAGCCACTATAATTACAGGCTGTGAGGCGTCTTTGTCCTCAGAGGTGACTATATGCAACTGCAATAACTGCAACTGCAACTTTACAAGGCGCAGGTTCGGCCGCACATGGAATACTGTTCCCATTTCTGGGCTAGGGCTCCCTAGTAACAGCTCTTTCCACTTGACCGCATCCAGTGCAGAGCGGCTAGAATCGTCGATGACCAAGTACTTTCCGATCGGCTCGATTCACTGGCGCTGCGAAGAGATGTTGCATCTCTTTGCATTTTCTTTCGCATATACCATGGGCAGTGCTCTGAGAAATTGTTCGGATTAATCCCAGCCGCCAAATTTCGTGAACGAACTACGCGGCAAACATTCCAATACCATCCACACCATCTGGATGTTTGGCGATCCACCACTGTACGTTTCAAAAGGAGTTTTCTTCCGCGTACGGCCTCTCTGTGGAATAGTTTACCACCGGCGATTTTTCCGGACCGATACGACCTGGGGACCTTCAAGAAAAGAGCTTACTCCTTTCTAAAGGGCCGGCAACGCACCTGCAATTCCCCTGGTGTTGCAGTTGATCATGGGCGGCGGTAGTCACTTAACATCAGGTGAGCCGCACGCTCGTTTTCCCCCTCTTCTATAAAAAAATACATCTGTAGCCTTTTTGTTTGAAGTTGGCTGCAGGTGTCCCTGGACTGCGTAGCCACGTACCATCAGATAGACCATAAGTTTGTTTCTTACTTCAGTTTTATGAAAAAAGGAGCCACACTAATAACAAAACTCAATTGTACTACTGATCACTTTAGTTCGCAGTTGTATAGCTTCGAAGTATTCGCTTGGATCGTCAATTAAACACTCACTGGGTCGCGGTCTATACTGACCTTATATAGGGCCTCAGATAAATCCGGAAACTTCTACAGTAGAAACATCTAGAATGTTCGAGGTCCTGACTGACTAGGTGTTGACAGTTCTAGAAATTTCTTCCATGGAAATCTCTAGAAGGATCTAGACACCCCTAGTTCTGCTACTCGATACTAGAAGACGCTAGGGGTAACTAGTGTCGCTATGTACCAAACATTAATTGTGGCGCGCAAAAATATACATAGACAATTTCATACTTTTACTGATTTTAGATAATTGAAAAAAAAATACGTGTGGCACTCGGTGACTGCCGCGGTAAAGCTATTGCATAGCATTTTTTATCAACTTATGCAATTATAATTATTTATTTATTTTATTTATGCAGTTAAGTCTTTGATATTAAATCAAGTTACACTTTTTGAGAGTAGTGACCGATAAGAAAACAATTTTTTTTCTCTTATTGAATAAATGAGAAGTTAATATTGTTTAAAATATTTTTAATATCTTACAATACATGTAGGTTATTCAGGAATTTTTATCATTCAGTTTGCAGCTAGTGTACACGCATACGTCTAGTCGCACGCACACAAACACCGTGCCGAACTCTGCCGAGTGCCGAAGTCTGCCGAACTAAAACGACGTTAGACGATGCACGGCTTTCAACGCCACACCTCCGTGCCCGTCGGAGTGGGGAGCGTGAGGTTTTTTTCGTTACGGAATTTCTGGATTCGGTTCCCGCGCTCAAGGCCCGCGATAGAAGCTATGCAATAGCTTAAAAGGGGAGAGTGGGGGGGATTGCTTTTGATCTAAGCTGCTTTGGAAGGCAGGAACTCATGCCTCACCACTAGGTGAAACTGTAAACATCTCACACTCACCAAAGCATATCTCGGTTCGTTCTGGTAGATGGTTCCCACTCTTGTCCAGTTAAAGTGCTGCAGCACTCTGATTCTGGGCAAATTGAAAGCGTTCTCCGAAGGCACGATACGGAAGAAATTTGGAAACGCTTCCTTGGTGAACATCGGATGGGTGTCGGCATATGACAGCTGGAAACATATGTAAATTATAATGTCCTGTAGACTGAATTTCGGTTACGGTGACCCGTCTCAACGGATAGTAGCCATTTGTGCAGGACAGTATGATAGCGCCCAAGTGTATGCGCAAGCACAGGTGCACTCTCTATTCTCTCACTCTCACAGTCCGACGAGACGGCAATCTGATACGTCCGGAGAAATATCAAGCGCAGGACCAACGGCTTCACGCGCTTTACGAGGCATGTGGGTAACACCGCGAACTCCATGACCCCGGGCTGCTGCCGAAAATTTCTTTACAGAAAAACTCAATAACTGATTTTTAATCAACCCGGGATTCAAGTCCAGGTTCTCTTGATCAGTAACCACGTTTACAAGCACTTGACCTACGAGCCAATCAAATACACTAGTGGTCCAAATACTGGATGACCTTTTTTACCGTCCGAAAAAAATAAGGTGTAACATGTGATAGGAGTAGAAGCTACTTCACAGCCTATGGCTGGTGATTCCATTTATAGCCTGTGAAGCATTCCATTAATAATTAAAAACAACATTTTTATTAATTAAAAATAAAATAATTCATCGTATGGGAACTGCTACGTGTAAAAAGATTTTTTATAGTATAAGCGTGACAAACAAGCACGTAGTTCACCTGATATAGTAAGTAGATGCTGTGGCGCATAAACATCTACATCTATTCTCGATTAGGAATCAACATGTAGGAGCATTGTCACGGTTCTCCACACTCACCTTACGAAACACAGCAACATTAAGCTGCTACTTCACGCTAATCTGTGTGAGATTTCGCCATTCCCCGATGGAGCCACCATATTTGTGCTCCAACAATAATATAGCTGCAGCGTGGCTCCACTACATTTATATGAAAGAAAAACGTATTAACCTGAGTAAGGTGCCAGTGTTTGGATGCCTTCGCGATAGGATCGGTGACGTGTGTGCAGGCGGCGCCGAACAACATCAACTTGTGTGGTCCACTGTGCATCATGTCGAAGAAAGACTTCACGCCTACAGCTGCGTTGCACTGTTAAACACCATCGTAACATAATGGAACATAATGGTAGAAGAAAACACAATGGCAATCAATGTAGATACATTACATTGGTATATAGATTTAAATAATATTGAAGTCATAGAATACTATAATACACAAGTAAATATTATAGTATTCTATGATTGAAGTCATACACTTCAATTTTATTTAAATCTATACTGGGTGATTTTGTAAAATTTGGAAAAATAGGGTGAATGGACTAGAAGCCTAAAGCACTGTTATTATAATTTTTTTTTATTTTACATTAACATACTATGAAATTGAACTATCAATAAATACTACTAATTTGAAATAAACTTTCTGTAATAAAAAAATATTTATTAATATTTTTGAACTAAATAAATCAATCAATAAAAAACTATCAAAATTAAAATAATACGTATCCAATTAGTAGCATTTGTTGATAGATCAATATCATAATATGTTAATGTAAAATGTAAAATATCAGTGCCGTAGGCTTCTATTCCGTTCACCTGTTATTGTACACCCTATTTTTCCAGATGGTAAAAAAAATCACCAGTATACCTCTATAAACCATAATCTTATCTGAAATATCGCAATAACTGCCTTTTACTGAGCTCAGAGGGGTTATTGGCATGCCTTTACATTTTTTAATATACCACGTTTTTTTTTCGAGATTTTGATTCTTGATTCGCGATTTTGGGCTGTTTAAAATTTCAAGTCCCTAGCTAGTTAAGTTAACTTAAACTTTCAAGTCCCTAGCTAGTTAAGTTAGCTTAAACTTTCAAGTCCCTAGCTAGTTAAGTTAGCTTAAACTTTCAAGTCCCTAGCTAGTTATGTTAGCTTAAACTTTCAAGTCCCTAGCTAGTTATGTTAGCTTAAACTTTCAAGTCCCTAGTTAGTTATGTTAGCTTAAACTTTCAAGTCCCTAGTTAGTTAAGTTAGCTTAAGCTTTCAAGTCCATAGCTAGTCAAGTTAACTTAAAATCGATTACTAAATTCGGCCCAGAAAGACAAAGAGGTGTAATAACAACCATTTTTAGGCCAATATTTAGCAGTGGACTTGTGAAGGGCTGTAATCATGATAATGATGATATTTTAAAGTTTTTTGTCCGTCTATCCTGGCAGTAAGACTTAGATGAAGGAGTCATAAATGGTCGTTGTAGCGTGAAAGCAGCTAGGAGAGTAGTAGTACTAGGTATAAATATCCTTGTTAAAATATGGAAGTGTATAGAGGGTTTTACTAGTATAGTCACCCATCATACCTCAGTGTCGTTCCACCACATGTGCAGGCGATAGTTGCGGAGTACGGAGTCGTGCTCGTTGACGTGATCCAGCGCCAGCTTGACGCTCGGCATCACCCCACGACCTACAGCGGTGTTAACATCGCTTTGGTACATTGTTCTAACAGATATTTTTTATAGAATAAGCATGGCAAACGAGCACACCGTCCACCGGATAGTAAGTATAGTAAGTGGATGCTGTGGCCCATAGAAATCTACATTTATTCTCAGTTAAGAACCAAACTGCAGCTGCGTTGTCACCTCCGAGGACTAAGATGGAATGCATCTGGAGAAGAAGGGGAAAAGGAGAGAGCTTTTTTACTGGAAACGAGGAATCTCTCTGATTTCTCTACACTCACCATACGCAACACAGCAGCATCAAGCTGCTATTCTGTAAGAGTATGGTCCTTCTTCGACCGAGTCACCCCTTCGTGCTACAACCATAATACATATATCTGCTGTGTGGTCTTACCACGTCTACATTATATTTAAAGGCAAAATTAAAACACAACAGATTTGTGAAGGGCTGTAATAATGGTGATAATGGAATTAAAATAATCATAATTCATATTTAAAATCTAATATGAAATATAATATTATAATTCATATTATAAAGCGACAGCAGCTAAATGGCAAGGGTGCGAACAACGAACTCTAGTACTGTTGTGAACAACCTCTAACACAAGCATTTCAAGCTTAAAAGGAGTGGTTAAAGTAAATATTAGTAATGTTTATAGCATTGTTAGTACTTTTAATTTTTTATATAGGATAGGGTGACAAACGAGCACACAGATCACCTGATGGTAAGCGGTTGCTGTGGCCCATAGTTATCTATATCTATCCTCGATTACGAATCAAAATGCAGATGCGTTGTCACCCGTGAGGACTAAGATGGAATGCCTCGTTTCCAGTAAAAAGGGCCTCCGGTTCTCTACACTCACCATACGAAACACAGCAGCATTAAGCTACTATTTGACGCTGGTATTCTGTGAGAGCGTGGTCCTTCCCCGGTCGAGCCGACCCATACGTGCTACAACTATACTATTACTATAACTGCAGCATTGCTCAACCACGTATAGAAATATAACTGCAACATGGTTCTAACACGTATAAAATGTAGTACCTACAATAAGCAACCGCTGTGTGGTCGTGACGTAAAAGACTCCACCATCTTGTTCATTGGGTTTCGTAAGAGGCAACAATTTGATATAATCCTTTGGCTTTGATATAGTAGACTCAAAGCAGTTTGATCAGACCTGCGAACGGCTGCAGCATCAAATGCTACACGTCTGGGACTGGATTGTAAAACCGTTTGTTAAGCGTGGCGATTAAAATACGGATAAGGAAGAATTTTTATAGCTATATTATCGCTGTAACCGAAACGGGTCGGCTCGACCGGAGAAAGACCACGCTCTCAAAGAATATCAGTGTAAAATAGCAGCTTATTGCTACTGTGTTTCGTACGGCGAGTGTAGAGAACCGGATAATCTTTTTTGACTGGACACGAGGCATTCCATCTAAGTCCTAAAGGATGAGACCGCCTCTGCATTTTGATTCCTAATCGAGAATAAATGTAGGTGTATATGGGCGACAGTATCCACTTACCATCAGGTGAACTTTGTGCTCGTTTGTCACCCTTATTATATAAAAAGCCACCATTCAGCAACATCACTTCTGGTGTGTGAGGGAATTTAAAAAATATTTGCAAATGTCTTTTTGTATTGAAAAGTATCAGATATATATCCTTTTAATACGATAATGGAGTTAGCATTATCGTATTAAACAAGTTATTTATGTAGCATCTAACGAACTTTCCAAAACTACTTAACTACTTCCAAAGAAAACTTATTAAGATTTCGATTAGTTAGTATAGCTTTATACAGAATTGTTTTAGTCTACATTGCTAAAATGAGGGCATAGTTCTTTTCCAGTCGAAGTGATGCGTGTAATACAGTTGCCACGTGGCTCTACCACAAATAAAATTTTCTTCTTCTTCTTCTTGTTCTCATTATCAGCCTGTAAAATTTTACTGCTGAACATGGGCTTGTGGTAGCCAAAGGCAGGCAGTACCAGACGTCTCGCAACTTTGAAGCTGATCCCGTCGTTGGTATCTTTCTTTTCCGTCTGGTATGAACGAGATGTTACCACCAACTATCGGTAGTCATAATATATATTAATACATAATTTTTCTGGCATTTCCCAAAGAGTCGACTCTTGCGACACTCACGAGACGAAATGGGGTGATGGATTCGCTTACACTACCACTTCACCACCACACGGTACCGTTTAAATATACTAAGGATTTAAAAATCTTCTGCAGTTTTCTTGGTTTAAAGTTTTTTTTATAAAATTAGGATACAGGTGACAAAATAGCACACTGTCCACCTGATGGTAAGTGGAAGCTGTGGCCCATAGACATCCACATTTAACCTCGGTTAAGAGCCAATATGTAGACGTGTTATCACCCCTGAGGACTAAGATGGAATGCCTCGTGTCCAGTGATCCAGTCAAAAAAGAGTATCCGGTTCTCTACACTTACCGTACGAAACACGCTGCTTTTACACACGCAAATTTAGCTGATATTTTACGCTGGTATTTTGTGAGAACGTGGTCCCCCCCTCCCGGTCGAGCCGACACATTCGTGCTACAACCATAATATAGCTGCAGTGTGGCTCTACCACGTACAAAAGCCAAAGTTCGTTGTGGTTATCCTAAGTCTGTGTTAGCACTTTACCATCAGTTAGACTAAACGTTTGTTTATCACTTTCATTTAATCTTCTTATCATCTGGTTACTACATACATAAGTCTACTGATGAAATAGGCTTCCTCAAAGGAATGCTACAGAGCACGGTCCTGAGCCACCTGCAACCATCGACTTCCTGTATATCTTACCAGGTCGTCATTTCATCTAGTGGGGAGCCGCTCTTCACTTCGTTTTACGGTACGAGGCTGGCACTCGAGATCCTTTCTTCCCCATCGGTTATCGGTTTTACGAGCTATGTGGCCGACTCACTGCCACTTCCTCGAAGGAATGCTACAGAGCACGGTCCTGAGCCACCTGCAACCATCGACTTCCTGTATATCTTACCAGGTCGTCATTTCATCTAGTGGGGAGCCGCTCTTCACTTCGTTTTACGGTACGAGGCTGGCACTCGAGATCCTTTCTTCCCCATCGGTTATCGGTTTTACGAGCTATGTGGCCGACTCACTGCCACTTCCTCGAAGGAATGCTACAGAGCACGGTCCTGAGCCACCTGCAACCATCGACTTCCTGTATATCTTACCAGGTCGTCATTTCATCTAGTGGGGAGCCGCTCTTCACTTCGTTTTACGGTACGAGGCTGGCACTCGAGATCCTTTCTTCCCCATCGGTTATCGGTTTTACGAGCTATGTGGCCGACTCACTGCCACTTCCTCGAAGGAATGCTACAGAGCACGGTCCTGAGCCACCTGCAACCATCGACTTCCTGTATATCTTACCAGGTCGTCATTTCATCTAGTGGGAAGCCGCTCTTCACTTCGTTTTACGGTACGAGGCTGGCACTCGAGATCCTTTCTTCCCCATCGGTTATCGGTTTTACGAGCTATGTGGCCGACTCACTGCCACTTCAGCTTACTAATCCATTGGGCTATGTCGGTTATTCTAAGTTTACTGTGGATGTCCACATTTTTAAGTCTATCTCGCAAAGAAACCCCGAGCAAAGCTCTCTTTATAGCTCGCTGAGCAACCTTGAGCTTCCTCATGCAGTGAAAGTCTTTCTCCTCACTTCTTAATCTTCGGACTTTAAGTTTCTTATACTTAACTATTTATTACAATATAAACGTTCTACATTGTCTGTTCTTTAGCGTGCTAGGTAACTGCCAAGTGATTGATATATAGTGATTCCAACAACTCTCTTTTTTTTTAATAAGGGTGACAAACGTGCACACAGTGCGCGTATGGTGGTAAGTGGATGCTGTTGTCCATAAACATTTACATCTATCCTCGATTAAGAACCAAAATGAAGATGTGTTGTCAAACAAGAGGACCAGGTGGAATGCCTGGTTTCCAGTAAAAAGGGTCTCCAGTTCTCTACACTCACCATACGAAACACAGCAGCATTGAGCCGCTATTTTACGCTGTATTCGTAAAACCTCCAACCGTATAAAGATCCGACCTCACGATGTTGAGCCTATCTTTCTCTTTTCTTTTTGGATCTACCTTGTTTAAATTTCATAACAAATGAATTTAAATATTTAATATGTAAACGTCATCCATCTTCAAAGTCATACTAACTTTCATTTCCACGCTTTTTTAGTCTCGATCTAGTATGTTTAATTTGCCAGACTTTCGTGGCAGAGCAGAGCTTTTTTTTGGAATTGTTTGCCATCGGCGATTTTCCGTATAGATACGACTTACGGACCTTTTAGTAACCAGCTTACGTTTTTCTTAAAATGCCGGTAACGCGACTGCAATCACCCTGGTGTTGCAGTGGTTCGTGTGCGGCGATATTTACTTACCATCAGGGGAGCCGCATGTCGGGTTTTCTCCCTCCTATATAAAAGAATCGCGGCCATCAATAAAAAAATATCCATGAACACTGCAACACCAAGGAGATTGCAGGTGCGTGATTGATCTCTTTGGCTTAGTCGTTTCTTATGTCTCCCACTAATCAAAAAATGGTGAGGAATGCTCTTAGAATAGTTTACACTTATACTCACTCCAAACTAAGTATACCTTTAGCATAACTAAATTTTAATTAGTTGTAAATAGATACCAGTGTTCGAATTTTCCACGCCCTTGCCGAAAGGGAAGAAACCAGCGATGTATACATCCGACCTCCTGTTCAGGATTGCATCCAGATTCGGCTTCTGTGGTAGTCCCACGCTCAAGGTCACAACTGTCAGCAACAGCAACAGCATCTTAACAGCTGGAAGAAAACCTTTGACACTTGAGCAATTGCTCATAAAGCGTCAAAAGTTTTTTAATTTATAATTATGTAACCTGTGTACTTTTCTTGTTTTCTTTCTTCGACAGAGCCATCAGAGAGGGAAGGGATTCCCTTAACTGCCACGCTGAGATGGCAGGCTGGTGTCCACCAGATTATTGGACCTTGAACGCAGTACGTTATCGCCA